CTGAAATATTAGCGATTTTGTATCAGCATCCCATATAGCACAAATCTCTAAAAGATTTCTTAAAGAGTTCCAAAAGATTTCCCAAGTCCTCCAGAACACTTTTAGAATTCTTTAAGAAGTCTTTTAGAGATATGTGATCCAATATAGCACAAATCTCTAAAAGATTTCTTAAAGAGTTCCAAAAGATTTCCCAAGTCCTCCAGAACACTTTTAGAATTCTTTAAGAAGTCTTTTAGAGATATGTGATCCAATATAGCACAAATCTCTAAAAGATTTCTTAAAGAGTTCCAAAAGATTTCCCAAGTCCTCCAGAACACTTTTAGAATTCTTTAAGAAGTCTTTTAGAGATATGTGATCCAATATAGCACAAATCTCTAAAAGATTTCTTAAAGAGTTCCAAAAGATTTCCCAAGTCCTCCAGAACACTTTTAGAATTCTTTAAGAAGTCTTTTAGAGATATGTGATCCAATATAGCACAAATCTCTAAAAGATTTCTTAAAGAGTTCCAAAAGATTTCCCAAGTCCTCCAGAACACTTTTAGAATTCTTTAAGAAGTCTTTTAGAGATTTGTGCTATATTGGATCACATAATTTTTTTCGTGCGAAAATGTCGAGTTTTGAGCCGAATAAGCGTCATTTGCGGGAACTTTTGATTTACTTCTTTAATTTGAAGAAATCTGCAGCTGAGGCGCATCGATTGCTTGTAGAAGCATATGGTGAGGTTGCTTTAAGTGAGAGAAGTTGTCGTGAGTGGTTTCAAAAGTTTAAAAACAGTGAGTTTGACGTCGAAGACAAAGAACATAGCGGAAGGCCGAAAGTGTACGAAGACGCGGAATTGGAAGCATTATTGGAAGAAGATTCGATTTGCCAAACGCAAGAAGAACTTGCACTTACATTAGGAGTGACTCAACAAGCAATTTCACATCGTTTAAAATCGTTGGGAATGATTCAAAAGCAAGGAAATTGGGTTCCATATGAACTGAAGCCGAAAAACGTTGAACGCCGATTTTGCACATGTGAAATGCTGCTTGCCAGACATAAACGAAAGGGTTTTTTGCATCGTATAGTCACTGGTGATGAAAAATAGATCCACTACGATAACCCAAAGAAGAGGAAATCATGGGGACCACGTGACCATGCTTCAACATCGACAGCCAAGCCGAATATTCATGGAAAAAAAATTCATGTTGTGTATTTGCTGAGATCAGCTTCCCACGTGATTTCGTGGATTCCACGTGAACTCTACGTGGATTCGACGTGAATTCGACGTACGTTTTTATGGGGTTGGTATCGTGTATTATGAGTTGCTCAAACCGAACGAAACCATTACTGGGGCTCTCTACCGGACACAATTGATGAAATTGAGCCGAGCACTCAAGGAAAAACGCGCCCACTACTCCAGACACGACAAAATTATTCTCCTGCATGATAATGCTCGTCCACATGTTGCGGGGCCGGTCAAAACCTACTTGGAAACACTCAATTGGGAAGTTTTACCCCACCCGCCGTATTCACTAGACATTGCTCCCTCTGACTATCACTTGTTTCGATCGATGACGCACGGCCTGTCTGAGCAGCACTTCACATCATATAAAGATACCAAAAATTGGGTCGATTCGTGGATAGCCTCAAAAGATGAAGCGTTCTTCCGACGCGGTATCCGTATGCTGCCAGAAAGATGGGAAAAAGTAGTGGCTAGCGATGGACAATACTTTGAATAAAACATAAGGTACCGTTCTTTCACAATAAATGCCCAATTTTTTATAAAAAACGGCGGAGACTTATTTGTACTCCCAATAATTTATTTTTTTATTTTATCGGATTAGAGAGAGAGAGAGAGAGAGAGAGAAGCCGAAAGATACGAAGCGGACATGGCATCTTATGGGAATAACAAATACCGACAATTTACGACGGCAAACGTTTACTGTTACGCGATATTTACACGAGATAAATGTCTATTTAGTTAGATTGATATTTGCGAAACATCTCATGGTATAAATAAGCACGTCTAATTTTGAAAAGATATTGCACCGCTTGAAGATTCTTAAGACTGACCTCCGTACTCGTTGTACATATCGCTAGGATGAGTAAATATGACGCTCGCCGCTGAATAAAATTTCCGCAGGTCCAGTATCACATCGACGAACCCGCTTATGTTGAAGTGCGTCTCCGAGCTCTCGCTCACGAAAACAAACAGTAGCATTGAGCATGTCAGGTAGAACGATAATTTCATTTTGTCGCGCACCTCTTACACGGGAGCAATGCGAGTTTATAACGCGGTAGATCGGAGAGACCAACTAAACGGCTAAAATTTCCGCTAAGCGGGACAAATGCTTTTCTATTATAATATTGCAGAGTAAACGCCGGCACGTGTATGCATATTGAAAACGTTCGATAATGTAATTGCGGGAGATACGATAAGATAGCGAAAGAGAAGTGCCGAGGAAAATGTTGCAGGTCAAACGCAACATAATCTCCCGTAAATTGTCTTATCTTCTTTAAATTAGAAATCCGACATCAGAATTATCAAATTAGAAACCCTTAATTAGAAATTAACCGAGTGGTTTGAGGATATTCGCATAAAACGACTAATAAATCGTCTTCACGTATCAAATGCGATGTGCAATCTATTTATCTTTTTAATGATACATTTTAAATGAGATATTTTTATTGAATATTTTGCAAAAGTATCCATGTCGAATGGTCGAAGACAAGTTTCAAGACATTGAACTACATGCATTCAATTCCTGAACTAGATTCCAACGCGAGTCATGTATATGACGCGATACGGATATAAATGTAAGCATAAAACGAGATCTGCGCGTTTTTGCGCTATTGCAATCATTGATCTATTACCACGTCAGTCAATGAGTTCGAAAATCTCGTAGCGTAGCAACGTCAATACCTCTAACGATGACGTGTCCATGTGGCAAATGCATTTCAATTTATAATGTCACGTCGGGTAAACATTTCGCGAATATACTGATCGATATCAGCTCCATTAGAAAATTACGATAAGAAACGTTTAGAAGATCACATTTTTTGTTGAGCGATGTTTATCTAAAAATTAATGTTATCGAATGTTGTTAATATTTGTTTGATAAGAGCAGCACAATAATACTCTCCTTACTTATATAAAACTATGAAATAATGCAGAAACTATAAAACAATTATTTTCCTTAAGATGTAATGAGTCGATGTAATTGATCGAGATGTAATCGTGGCAATGTAATGCAAATAATTGCCTAATTTGTGAACTGCAGAAAGTGTATACGATAATTCTATAAAGCGTCACAAAATTAAGAAATAAATTACAGCGGTAACTTTAATATTAACGCGAAAATAATTTTTAGATCTTAATTGATCAAGAAAAAAGATGATATTGCATGTGTATGTAAAAAATATATTTAAGTATTTATCATCGTATGCACATCATGTATATAGAGTAGGGTAAACTCGGATAAGATGGCCATGCTTTTTTAAAATGTAAAAAAAAATAAATTTCTTATTGTTATTTCTTAATAGCGTTTGACACATTACTTCACTGAAGCCTACAGTACATAATACCGTACCGAGTTAAAAGGAAAATACTTCAATGAAATTATTTATTACAAAAATATCAAAACATGAGCATTGGCCATCTTACCTAAATGCTTAAGACAAGATGGCCATAAGGAATAGATAACCTATACATATTTTATGTTCAAGATTCTGTGCCTATTATTTTATAAAATAATGAAAAAAACATAATTTGACATATTCATTTTAGTATAGGATATTTAATACATATTATTTGTGAAAATATAATACACATATAAAATAGAAATCTCTATTACAAAACTTAAATTCTATATCCAATTTTTTATCAAAACATATTGCACATAAGATTTAATTACAGTAATATTGAAAGTAATTTTTGAAATATAACGACTTTCGTTTTGTAAATGTTAGAATGATAATGGGCTATTTTATCCAAAATGTGAGTAAAAGATGGTTATAATAGTACTTATAAACAAATAGTGAAAATAAAAATAAAAATGCATGTTATATTACAATTTACATACCTACTTTATGTATCTAACGTTGATTGCGATAGCTTAACTGTAATTTATTCGACGTTACAGCAAGTTAGTGATCACATGAAAAATTTTACAGGTAGTCGAAAATAAAAATATAGTATAATATTCATAATCTTGCTCTTTCATACACTACGATAAATATCGATTATCTTTGTAACTAATTACACAAACGCAATGTTTTGCAATTATTAGAGAAATTACAGCCTATAGCCATCTTTCCGGTATGGCCATAATACCGTTTACCCTATTGTATTTAGTATGGTATTTAATAGAATACCGTATTTTTTTCTTTATATACTTATATGATACACATTTCTTAGAATTTCTTAGAATAATGTGAGGCTATGAATTTTTACAGATAAGATGATTCATCGTGACTAGATAACGCTGTGCAAGATCAAATTTGCTTTGTAACGATTATACCGGCCAGAGTCGTGCAAATAATCGACTAGTTGCTTCTAGAATTTCGTTGGTTCCAGAATGATGAGCTTGTTTATTTGTGAACGACATTAAGATAAACAGTGACTATCAATATTGTTACCGTTAACTCTATCTTAATAAATCTATCTTCTGTTGACTTTAAAGTTTCTTCCTGCCTTCTAAAATTTGCCATCTTGTTTAAAATTAGAGTTTACCTTATACGTAATTAAAACTCAATCGCATACCGACATACCATCATACATTTAATCGCAAATTGATTATTCCGCCTTTTATTGTATCAATGATTTTTACAATGGATTATTCACAGTAATATTAATTATTTACAATAATACATTAGTCACTTTACAATCATTTTCCAAAGGAATGTTTCATGGATGAAACAAAGGAAAAATCTTTGTTTCATCCATCAGTTTTATGAAAGATTTGGAAATTACGTCAAACGGAAATAAGCTGCTGCTGAAATATGACAATTCGAAATGTTTAACTCGATAATGAGTACACAGTACATTCGTTGTTGTCTTATGTTGCCGCTTTGTTATTATATCGTCATATAAGGGATCTACAATAAGAACTTAAGCTTTAAGTTTTAAGATTTAAGTAAGAAATTGACCAATTACAATTGAATTGTAAAAAAATAATTAATTATGATTGGTCAATTCCTTACTTAAAGCTTAAAGCTTAAGTTCTCATTGTAGAGCTCACTTAAGCTTCGTAATAACGCAATTGCGTGAAACTGCGCAAACACGATATTTTACCATCATATATACATAAGCTAGAACTGGAACGTGACTCTACAAAGCGTCATTCTACAAAGCCGCTGTGACTAAAGCCGCCGCGCACCTTTCTCTATTACTTTCTAGATACTTCTAGACACTTCTGGACTGTTATGTCTCACTCAATACGACTGGATTGTTTTACACTTTTCGCGAAGCCTTCAATATACTTACCGTCGAAGATGTATATGCCGCATATGTTTCTAACATGCGCGTTCTTTATTTCTTAATATGTGTTTATTTTAACGTTATAATTTTTTTATCAAAATCTTAAGAGCAATATCAAACATCACATATTAAATAATTGTAGATAGATAGATTTAATCGAAATTCATTGATAAATAATTTTTTCTCTTTCTTTTTTTCTCTTTCATTTCTTTATATTTTTTAAATTTTGGAAATTATAATAATAAATTATATAATTATTTAGTAAGAATTATATTTTCTTTACATATTTCCCATACAGCATAAAAGTTTGAAAAAGATTTCAGAAAGATCTTAGAAAGGTTCAATGTTTCTGAAACCTTCTGAAAACTTTTTGGAATTTCTGTACTGCATAGGTTATATATCAAAAATCTCTAAAGAATGAAAATTAAACTGAAACATCATCTGTATATTTTAAATTAATTTAAAAATTTAAAAGAAGATCTCCTTCTCGAATACTCATAAATCTGTTAAAGCTCCTGAAATTATTTTTGTTGTGTTCCTCATTTTCTAAATAATTAGTCCGCACTTTATTTTATCTTTCAAGAATGTTCCAGAATATTCCAGAATCGCGACAGGCTTTTTAGCGCGGCTGTTCTTAAACGACAATCAGCCAAAACCTTTATAACATGCTAATGTTCCGTTTAGCGTGAATAGAAGTTTCTTGTACAATCTAGGCATTACACGATAACCTATGATGCAATCCCGTCACGAAATAGTCGTAAATGACGCTACTACTTTCCTGTTTCGCAGTGAGTCATCGTATACAGTCACGTGGACGTCTTCTGTCAAAATTGGCGTCTCACTATGAAATGGCGTCGCACTCGTGACTTCCTCTATTTGAATCTCTTTCGCGACAAATCCCTCTCACGCACCAAATTCGCGACATATCGTTATCAGACTCTTACGATTGATATACCTGACTTTTTTGTGCGCAGAATTCGAGGGACATAGCGAAATAACGGCGCAAAAACATGAAATAATTTGAAAAAGACTCGTAGGTCGGAAGTGACTGGTGTTATGACGACTGCGCCGACGCAATAGCCAAGAGTCGACTATCGACCGAGTATATAAGCATTCAGCGTCGGCGTCGACTCACAACATTCAACATACGACGACTGATTTACGAGGTGAACGTATCGTGAACGAACAACTCTTACTAACGTCGCCATATTTTATGTTTCTACTATAACAAAGTTATCAAGATTTAACAAGTGCGACAATGAATAAGCTAAGTTTTAAGGTATACCTGCTAAACGAAGAATTAAACAAATTCACAGAAGTGCGTAGATTTTGTTTGGATATCGGTGTCGCGAAGAACTTTGTGGCTTTGCGTGAAAAGCTGCAAAGTATTTTCCCGGAGCTGCACGAGAAAAATTTCACCGTCACTTGGAAAGGTGAGTATCTCATTCCCTTTTTCTGCAATCTGTTTTCCTCTCGTCTTGTCGGTGCAACGCATCGTTTCGATACAAAGAACTCTCTCCGGGATATGCGCATCTATTTTATAATGTCCAGCCATGTCGTTACATTGTGCAACCATGAAAATTGTTTAATAATAGTTTTCGTATAACATGGAGGCATGACCTATGATCTTTGTTGATTTAAAGTATAATGCTCAGCATAGCAAACCAACATAGCAAACATTTCTATAGAATATGCATGTAATTATTATCGTATTGTTTACCAATGTTCTCTCCTTGACGAAATACAAAATATTTCATTTATTAATTTACATATATTTACATATTTTTTATTTGAATTCTACACATGATACACAATAGACAGGCCCAGACCTGTCGCTGAAGCGTGTATAGGTATTCCTGATAAGAGTTATTGTCTTGCCTCAAAAATAAGGATTTTAGAAAATTAGAGAATTAAAAAGATCAGAGAATTAAAAAGCAGATGTTACCCACAAAATTGGATTCAAAAGTATGTAATTCATGAATCAAGAACTGATCATTTTGAAAGTACAGAAGCTTTCTTTGGTTTTAATAATATATATCCTAGAATGTACTTCTGCATGAAATTATATGTACTATATATTCCTAAATTCTTTAATCCTTTTTTTTTTTTTACTTAATAAAGCATATATATACATTTGTAGTATGTATTCTTTTATTACTATACCTTTATATATTGTATTGAAAGAAATAATAAAAAATTGGAAGTAAGTACTTAATATTTATATAGAAATTAGAAAATCACAACTAAAATCTATGGCAGATTTCAAAATCAGTAATTGCATCATAAAATTCCTGTATTTTACAGCATGGCTTTATTGTACTATAAAGAAAACAAATCTCTTATTCTGCAAAGGATATGTTCTCTGTGTGCAATAACAATAAATATACTGAGAAAAAGATACATGAAGATTTATTTGAGAAAGATATAAAGTTAATTTTCAGAAGTAATTTTTATAATCTTTACAAGTAAATTTTCAAGTATCTCTTCTCAGTGCAAGAATTAATTACATATCTTCCAAGTAAAGTAAATTGCTTATGTTTTGTAACCAGATGATAGAGACACCATTGTGATATCAACCAGTGAGGAGCTGGAGATTGCATTAGAGGAGATGGGCAATCTGGGACCAGTCAACAAATTGTATGTCACTCTGCAAAGCGAGAAAGGAGAGATACCGCATCTGAGGAGCGATAGAGAATTGCACCCTGGTGTAGTTTGCGACGTATGCGAGAACAGCATACGTGGCATGCGCTTCAAATGCATGCAATGTCCAGATTATGATCTATGCACCAGCTGTATGACAATGGGTTACCATCCAGAACATTTCATGGTACGTATGACGGAGCCGGTCGTTTGGTCGAGCTATTATGGTCGTCGACTGGCACATCACATGCGCAAGTTCATGAAGAAGACGAACAATATATCGCACAACGATAAGGATAAGGACGACGAGACGCGGAGGTGCCCATACAAGAGCGGTAGTGGCAACAGCAGTGGCGGCGGCGGTAAAAGGGGCGGCTGTCGAGGCCTAAACATGACAGGCGGTAAAGTTGGTTTTGATCCCACTTTTGTTGATTCATTAGCGGACTACGTAAAGAACGTGTGTATCCCGTTAGAAGAAACGTGTCACGAGCAGAAGCGATTTAAGGAGCAGCAAAGGGATCCATCCACCGAAGCCGCCACCGAGGCGACCGAAGATCCACAGCAGACAAACAGCTTAACGCAACTGCTGAAGATGTTCGAGAAAAATCTTTCACACATTTCGCAGTTTTTGGATCCACTCGGCATCAACATTGTCGTGACGTCCGACAACGACAATTCCGCCAGCAAGCCTGCTGCCAACGGCACTCCAACCACTGAACCCAGTACGCCTTCGCAATCCGATACGAAGTTCCCCGGCGAGGGCAAAAAATTACGTGATGATATCCCGGTATCATACACGCTTACGGCAGAAGAGCAAGCAGCAGCGGCGGCAATGGAGAAAGCAGTAGCGGCAGCGGAGAAAGCAGTGGCGGAGAAGGCAGCAGCGCAGGCGTTTGCAACTGAGGTAATAAAAATTGACAAGAAATATCCCGCAACAACCAACGACGTATCGTCGTCATCGGCATCACCGTCACCTCAGGCCACCCAGAAGGTTGGTTTCCGTGAACAAATTGTCGATGAACCCGAATGGACGGTGGTGGGACGCGAATCTCCTGACATCAGCCGTACATCTTCCACTTCTTCCGTAAATGGAGCTATACCTAAGCAGGTATATCTCTCAAAGATGCGCGAAATAAATAATATTTCATTTAAATTATTGATTTCGTTATGATAGAGAAATAAAATGTATATGAAAATATATTTAAATTATATAATATATAATTCTAAATATTATTATTATTATATATTAGAAAAAATATACATATGTATATAACTTAAAATTGGAACATAACTAAGAAGCCTGATGTAGTAATTCAGTGTAGATTCATCTCTAGAAAGAAATTAGTGCTCTTTTTACATTGTTTATTACATTATTACATTGCTCTATATTTCTCATTGTTTATTGATCTGTATTTATTATGTCAGCCTACGCCGTCCGCACCTGCCACATCTCCTTCAAAGTCAGAGACAGGATTGGGACATCAAACCATCTATCCACAATTATCAGGCCAAAGCTTCTTTGAATTGGATCCCAAGATCCAAGGCGCGTTGGAAGCCATGGTGTCAATGGGATTTACTAACGAAGGTGGATGGCTCACTCATCTGTTGATCTCCAAAGATGGTGATATCAGCAAGGTGTTGGACGTGTTGCAGCCGGTACGTCGTTAATAAGAAGGATGAAACTTTAATTAAGATTAATTCATACATAATAAAGAATAATGTAAGAGTATAATCCATGTAGTGGATGTTTTTGGTAGTGGGTAATAATAATTGGTAAATATTAAAGGCTCTTGGTTCCTTTCATTACGAACATATAACTCATCCATGATTCTGTTACATTAATTTTACAGTTATTTATTTATTTTTCAAATTATTAATTTTTAATAAATCCAATTAATAATTGTGTTAAATATTAAATTTATATCAGAGCAAAATATTTAGGTTATTTTTTATACATTTGCTCGATCAGATTGTGTTATTTTATGAACATATCTTTTTATTTCAATATATTTTATAAGAATTTCGGATATGTACTTTATCATTTCTGACGTTATAAATTAAGATGGCTGCAGCGAATATCCAGGAGTCTTAATTTTATCAATGAAACACTTCTTTATATTATTGAACTTAGTTTACACACATTTATTGTAATATGTAGTTTGTAAGAACCCTTTCAAAATGATAATATATGTATTCTTAATATCATAAAAAGAGAAAAGTACATATGAATGTGTTTATATTATTAGATTGGGGTTCCTTGGTGACTACATTATAAAATATTGCGTGCCATTAAGTGTTATATATTTTGTGTTGATAAAGTTTGATGTTAATAAAGAAATCATGATATAGAAGATCATGATGTTTCTTCACCCTTTCGAAATCTTTTCATCGTATTTGATAATCATTGATTAGATATATATATATACAACATGGTTTTTACAGAAAGCAATGATATTAAGAGAAAACTCAAGAAACTTTATTGCAAATATCTTTATGATACAAGATTTTCTTTATAAAAAGTTACATTGAGCCATCAAAATAAGGGGGTTTCTATTAGTGATGATTTCTAACTCTTTTTGACTCTCAGGTGTTATTTTTCTGATCCATTTGCGTTCTTTGTAATATTCTATTATAGAGTCAAATTCCGCAGGACTATAGTCGTCGACTAGAACGGGTATAAAGGGATCTAAATGCTCAAAGCCTTCCTTGCCAAGCAGATATCTGGGAAGATCAGAGTCTTCACGAACAATCTAAAAACAAAGATTTCAATTCGTGTTATTATTCACTCACATTTACTAAATACAATCCTTTAGTCTGTCTTAACTTGAATAAAGAAAAGGAGAAAACGTATAATAAGCATCATTCATATTTTCCGTTATCTATTGTCTATCTATTGTCATAAAAGTATCAGAGTAATTTTTAAAAATTTATAAAATATTCTTTAGTTTTATATGCTTTAGAGAACCTGATTTTTATTATTTTTTTTCAATTTAAACTCATCTACATATAGAATGTATTAAAATTATAATTACTAGCATATATTATCTATGATTTAGGTTCTCATTGACAATTTTTACTTAATTTTTGTCAATTATATATCTGAGAAAAGGCTTTAACGATATTCTTTTCAATTTATAGAAAAGTTTTTAAATATTCAATTTAAGGACGCTCAGAAAGAGAGATGAAAAACTATGTTATAAATATAAACTATAATATAGATTATGATATGTACACGAGTTGCACGCTTGTCTGTCGATAATACGATTGCTCCATTGCACCAATCATCCTTTGTCATATCCAAAAATGGTATCGCCAAGGAAACCTTATTGGGTGGCACTACCGCTTTGTTGTCATCATAAATTTTTGTAAAATCTGATGTAAATGCGTTGAAACCATCAATCACAACAATTGTTTTACATTTTCCTGCAGTGCTGGCGAGTTTTAATTCCTTCATTAACGCATCTACTACACCACAGGAATATTTTATACGATTCATGCCAAACTCAATGAGCTCCAGAATAGGTGTTCCTTGTGAGGTCATTTCACGTTGATTCCATATATAATCTTTGGATGTTTTGAGCTGCAAAATAATGATGTATATGCAAACTAGTCAGCAACAAGGATTCAACTCAAAGTACACATACGTCCAATTGTGACAGCAGCGTAATATTCTGAGCTTTAAAATGTTTTAGCCAAAATCCAGCATCAATTGGCAGATCCATACAACCTGGTAATAATACCGAGTTCGCAACTTCCTTCATACGATAGAACCAATAACGAGCTAGACAACAGCAATTAGTTAGCAAATAACTGAAATGTTTATAGAATACATCATTTATATTCAATTGTATCATACCCCATGGTACGTGAACTATTATATATTTCTGCAGAAAAGCATAGTGTAATACATGACACAATGTAATACTTTTTCCCACTCCAAGTTTTCCATCTTTTTTCATATCATTAAGGTCTTTATGTCTTAAGTGTAAAAAATTCTCATGATTATTTAAATATATAATGAGTTTATAATTCATTATACTAAACTAAATATACTATCAACATAGTTGAGTTTTTTAATTCATCGATGGATCCATTGCATGATACGCAACGTTTCACTGTATGAATCCATTGATGTATCCATGCGATGGAGCCTAAAAAATCAAATTAAAAAACTCGCCCCATATATAAAAAATATATATAATATTAATATATACTTAACATGTGCATAAAAACTACTATAAATATTATAAAAAATAAAATAAAAGATGCGAAATTACTTTATATTGTTATATAAGAAAAATATTCTGTTCTCATAAAAGGATACACAAAACATATTTATTGGCAGGACGTGTATAATCTGCCTGTGCAAGAAACGATATAATTTCAACCGCTGGTTCTCTGACCATTATTGTATATTCTTGGAAGGTAACAGCTTGTGTTATGAATTTTGTAGGAAAACCACCATATTGAAACAACTGCTGCTGAATGTCTGTTGGTATCGTGTATAGTCTGCCAATGTGATTCATATTATGATTAGCTGGATTGTTCTCGATTGTACGGAAGGAGCATACTTGACTCGTTTGCTCATCCTTTACTTTGGTTACAGTACTAAAGTTCTTACTATGCGTCCTTTGTAATATTCTTAGAATGGGACCTACAATACACAACTTTTACTTTGCTCTTCGCAAATTATGAGTTAAAAAATTATTATATATAAATTTCATCATAAATTATTATAATTTTTCATTGTTATAATTCATTGTTATAATTTCATTGTTAAGTATATAAAACTATATGTAATTAATAATATATGGATATATAAATAAGATATATGAAAGATAATAGTATAATTAGCGTACGATTATAGTGTTATTGATTGAAATATTATTGAGTGACGAATTCTCACTTGAAAATTCAGGAATGAATCTACCAAAATTAATGTAGATGGAATCTTACGTAAATACAAAGACATCGTGTTGCTATTTGTCGAGACACGTTCGAGAAAGTAGTAATTAGTATACTTTTCGTCGTTTTGGAATTATATATTCAATATACACATTTTACATTCCTGCGCGAAACAAGCGGCGCAAATTTGACATAACCTAAAAAAACATTTCTTTAAGGACTGGTTTATAATGGCCAGGGATGGGTAATATAACTGGCAGTCTTATATAGGCTGCGTTCCTAAATTCACTGTCAGTACTGAAAATCTATAGTTCATGTTACGTATACTATAGAATTTCAGTACTATAGAATTTCAGTCTGGCAGTGAATTTCGGAACGCAGCATAGTCAAACATTTCGTTCTTTTTAGCTGCACTGCTAAATTAGTGTAATAAGTTATAGTGAGAGAAAGTATATTTTACTCTAATTTATTGCACTAGTTCTGCAATGCAGCTAAAAAGAACAGACCAATAAGGCCATTGCACGTAAAAAATTTTTAACCGTAATCGTAAGGTCGTAAGAAAACCATTGAATAAACTATTTCAACTTCAATATTTGGCTCCAGGCCTCTCTAAGAGTTATGCCCCAATGCCATTTTTCCGATTAATGATATATTTCGAGAGTAAAGTCTTGGAAAATTCCAAGGCACGTTCCAAAAAAATTACAAGGTCCGAACTTGTTCGAACACGTCTTGTCGTGACGGCGGTTAGGGCGGGACTCTAACCATTGAATAAAGAATAACAGGGCTATATTCAGAAATCCTACTCAATGGGTAGAGTTACTTTAATAAACCAATCATAATAAATAAATCTTAGTTCCTTTAGCTCTGATTGGATAATTAAATGTTACTCTATTCACCGAGCAGGGTTTCTGAACGCAGCCCAGGAAGGAGCATGTTACGATATATCGTGGGTAATCGATGTGTTGCATTGGTTTATAGCGTGTTCGACTGGCCCTGGGTTAATCGCTCCGAGAGCGATTAATGACATCATAAGTCTCTAATAGCCAATCATAAAGCTTATAAGTACTTGTTCGACCAATAAACGTTGACTGAATAACCTAGAGTAGGTTAAGCCCTATGCACAATGCCAGACAACAGGCAATAAGAATAGGCATTAGCCAATAGGAACAGGGAATAGAAATAATCGGCCAATCCAAATTCCTATTCCCTGTTCTTATTGTCTGTTGCCTGCCATTGTGCATAGAGCGTTAACCCAGAGCCAGTCGAACGTACTATCAGTTTGATGACGTAACTACGTCATAAGTGATGTTACCGGAAACACAGTCTGGCGGTATACTTTAAACATCTTAGAAGTATATAGCAAAGGAATATTAATTTTAAAAGAATAATAAAAAAATTGTATTTATATTTTGCTCATATTGGTGAGGGAAATAAAATTAATCACTTGTAATAATTTTCTTTTCAATACGTTTATGCACCTTTGTTTATTCGATTAATTGACAATATTACGTCATAATATTTACTTCGATTCCATAGTATCGATAATCGTATTTGATTCACTTTTACTACGTTAGGGCCGTGGCACACAGAAAAACTTAAGCAGTAAGACGTAAGCAGTAAGCAAATTGACCAATTACAGGATTCCAATTCTTGGAGTGTAAAGCGTTTTCTACAATGGCAGTAGGAGTAGTAGTAAGAAATAAGCAGTAAGTAAATAGACCAATCACAATCGATTATTTTTGAAATGTGAGAATGGAATTGGTCAATTTGCTTACTGCTTATTTCTTACTACTACTCCTACTGCCATTGTAGAAGACGCTTAAGAAGAATCAATGACTGTGATCAACTGTGTGTTAGTCAATTTGCTTACTGCTTACGTTTTACTGCTTAAGTTTTTTTGTATGCCACTAGCCTTACATCCATATATGTAAGGGTGCGTTCCTTTATTTACTTCAAATACTGACGCTATGATATCGTGAAAGTATACTGTTAGTAGCGTTCCGTTTTAACTTTGAGTACTGTCGAGGTGCTGCAAGGTGACAAATGGGAACGCACTATCTTACTGTCACTGCTTTATCTCTCCAGCTGCAGTAGCCGCAATAGGAAATGACATCAAAATTCATGACGTCACAAACTCATCGAAGTGCTTTCGTAGTGCACTGTAACCTATTTAGGAACCTGTACTACCTGTTGGTAGTACTGACAGTACTTGTAGTAAATAACGGAACGCAGCCTAATGGCTTCTGCACACAGGACGCGGTAATGCTTGCAGCGGCAGAAGTTCGCGCGACAGCCAATCAATATGCTGCTTTCCGTAATAACCTTCTAGCTCTTACGGAAAAGCAACATATTGATTGGCTGTCGCGCGGCGGAAGTCCGTTTGTAGACGAGTCTTTAAAGTACCGCTGAGAGCTCTACGCGTCATATAAGGCGCGTTCCGTTACAGGCTCGCAACGCTCGCGCGAGCGTCATTCTATCTTTGTTTAACATCTATGAGCAACAAAGATAGAATGACGCTCGCTAGCGTTGCGAGCGTGTAACAGAACGCACCCATAGTAGTATTATGGCTCCTGTTCACAGGACTCGGCAACACTTGCCACGCGGCGGAAGTTCATGCGACAACCAAGTAAGGTTGTAAGGCGCGAAATTAATTATTTTCATTCGCTGACGCTCACGTTACAACCTTACAGCCATATTCTTACAGCTATTGTAGACGAGCCTTAACACTACGGTGCAGACAATGTTCGACTGTCTTTTTCTATATCAATATTAGTGTTCTGTCCGTGCAAAGCGCATGTGTTACATTTATCCTTGCATCATGTGGTCTGTTCTTTCGCTCTGCACTGCTGCACTAGTGCAATAAGTAAAGTGAGACAAATATATATTTGTCTCTCTCTAACTTATTGCACCAGTGCAGCAGTGCAGAGCAAAAGAACAAACCATTGTTTAAACCAATACGATTAGATCTGATTCCTTATTGAACTAACCTTACACACACGCACGCACGCACGCCATATATATCGTTATAGACACTTTCCATATTTATTTTTCTTATTTATTATCAATTATTCAGTTTCTTTAATACATTTCCAGTGATAAATAACTCGTCGATCGACGTCGACGATCGAAAAGACGTCGCTATGTTTACATGTATATATGTTTACATTTTGTTGCCACACTTGCGCATTGCGATCAAAAAACACTTGCCCCACTCTTTTCTAGTGAGCCAATTACCGTCCATCTTCTATCCTTCAGTCTTCTTTCACTCTCTCTTATGGCAAAAATTCCTCTACGCGCCATATAGTAGTATTACATGTATGGTCACATCCTTCGCACTTCTAACAAAGGATTTTCTCTTTATGCTTCTTCCCGGTATTCTTTATTCAATGAAGAAAACTGACCAATCAGAGTTGACTATTTTCCTTGCGTTTAAGGAACAATCGACTGTCAGTTTTCTTACGACTTTACGGTTACGATTAAAATTTTTCTACGTGCAAAGGCCCATAGATTAAACGTTACAAATGCTTTGAAGCATTTAAAGAAAAGTCATGATTGGTTTATATATCACATAAAAACATTCGCAGCATCTAATAGATCGTCCCTGACTTAAAGAACTCTACTTCGTTGCAAACGGTGGCTCGTAGCGGCAATTTTAAAACTAATAATAAAAATAACGAGTATAGGTCCGAACAAAAAAGAAGGCAGAGAGAAGAATATAAAAATGAACAAATAAACTATCAAAAAACAATAAACTACAATCTAAAAAACCTACTCAAGCAAGTAATATTATTTTGTAATAATTTTATTATTCCATTTACACAATCCGTAATCGTCTTAGCATATATACAGTCTCATAAAATCAATATTTATAAGTCAATATTTATAACAATCACCATTGGACCAATTACATTGGACGTACGCAATTCACTCTCAAGATTTTATCGATTTTCTCGTAAAAGAAAATAATTTATGTATATAATATGTATATATATATAATATTAATCACTACAAAATGTATACCTTCCACTACCCTCACGCGCAAAGTCCCATGAAATAAACTGCATTATTCTCTTCATTTCACGGAGAAACATAATTTATATTACATTAGTCGTACTACAAAATAGCCTTGGTTATCCTCAGACATAATCGAGACTCGTACGCTATTTCCGCTACGTTCGATGAAAGCGTAAGAGTCTTTTCTTAGTGAAACCAGAGGCAAGCCATGCGAGAGGCCTTTCGAAGGACACAAAGTCACCGCAAAACGCAGTTGCAAAACGATCGTCGTCACGAGAGTTTTGTCGTACATACGATAGATATTGCCTAAATAGATACAAAAGAAATTGTTTGCAAATAAATAGATTTACATATTATTCGGAACTTTTTTACGCCGCAAACGCGTCGCCTCTATGATTTAATTTCGATGGAATCGTTGGCGCTTGGACCCGCGACGATGACGCTGTTATTGGCAGTAATATCCGCTTTATCGTTCTTCGTTATGTCACTGTTTGTCTTCTTACTAGTCAGCATCATCAGATGTGAGTGTATTCTGAAGTGCAATCTGGACTCTAATGAGTAGCCTGTGTAGTTCTTTCTGGAATACAGAAATTTACATATGGTTCATTTAGTTATATTTGGTACAAATTAAAAGATGTTCCGAATTTTGTGGAACATCCTGATTTTCGGCTTTCTATAGAGATGTTCTGAAAGAATCCTAGATGAGATACCATTTGTTCTGATTTATTATATAACATAAAATAAGAAATATAAACTTTTATTATTATTAGAAAAAAAGTATATTTTATGATTTTTCATTGTTTTTATGTTTCGTTGATAATTATTCTTTAATTGTATTTTATAAGAATTTTATCAGTCTAGAGTTTTAGACTAATGACTTATATTTTTAAAAAATTAGAAGATTTCTATGCTATATTCTGTTGTTTGAGAGATATTGATCTAAACATTTTACTTATTTACCTACGTGTATCTAATTTATTTAACCTATTTATTTAAAAAATTAATATGTCAAAATATATTTATATATGTATAATAACTAAAAGAAAACATGCATACATATACATTAATATGTAATGTATCGATGACGAAATACGATTTTTTTGTTGTATCCCGATTTTTTAAGATTAATATTTACAGATAATTATTCCGAAATTGGCTGATTAAAACTTAGTCATCTTAGTAACAATGTTAAATTAATGTAATAATAGACAATGTATGTACGAAATAGATCACTCACTTGGCGTCTTCCAAAAAGTCTATAGCCAATTGGGTATCGCCTTGGTCTAAAGCCAGTAACGCTAATTCCACAGTAGCGTAAGGGCATAAGTACGTGTCCTCTTTGACGGATTTTTCCAATCGCAAGACGCCTCGCAAACACTCTTCTGCCTGCAGAGGATGCTGCATCTGTCGCAAACAGCTGCCTTTCAGCAACAATATAAGTGCCTCGTTGTCTGCGTCGAACTCGTTTTTCCTGCGTGAAATATTGCGCATAGTGCATTAGTAAAAAACTGTTGTCTTTTTCTTGTTTTTCTTTCACTAGAAGTGTGTGTGTGTGTGTGTGTGTGTGTGTGTGTGTGTGTGTGTGTGTGTGTGTGTGTGTGTGTGTAATTAGCACATGTAATTTCGCTTTCTTATCTTTATCTATTTTATATAAAGGCACTTTATTATATGTCACTTATTATACGTCATTTACACAATACTATGCTAATAAGTGTTTTTACGTAAAACAAAAATTAAAAATCGTTTAGGACACTTACGGCACCGTTTTAAGTTCCTTCTCCTCGTTCTCTATCCTCTTGAATATACTCAGAATCAATTCTGGCCGTTTGCCGACTATCCGGAAGAAATTCCACATATACATGATCTCAAACATAGGCAGCACCAAGTTCTTCTTCTGCGCGAAGTAACGCTCCGACTTCCTAATCACGAACTTTTCAAACGGTAAGGACTTGCCGGCGATGCGTTGCTTATAGACAGGCACCTGCATCATCAGATTGTCTATCGTCTGCTTCTCTTCGCTACCGTGCGACGGTTTCTGCATGATGAGGATCGCTGCTTGTTGGAACAGGTAGATGGTACGCGACCAGTTGGACTCTTTTACGAGTAAGACCGCGTATGGAAGCGCCTTGCTCCACTGCTGCATCGCGCAGTGCGCCCACATGATCTCCCAGTAGCATAGATTGTGGAATTGCGTCCAGGAGTTTTGGCTCTTCCACGACTTGGTGTACCACTCTATGGCTTTCTCAAAATGGCCGCGGGTCATCTCCAGTCTACCCTTGAAGAACAGAAACAATAGGCCGTTCGGGTAGACACTCAGCTCCTCGTCCAACACCCTTTCGCACCAATCCAGGTCGCCATCCATGTGGCTTAGCACATAGATGACAATTAGATTATATGATAGCAGGGTCATCATGCACAAGATTTGTCGCAGACCTCTCCTCTCCGCGTAGCCTGCCCTCAGTTCCCCTAAGCCGAGTTCCTGTCAATGACGTCAAAGGAACAATCAATATAATATTTCCAACGGCAAAGAAAATATCCAACGGTTTAAAGAACATATAACATCATCAATAATCACCTTATCGCCGGAGAATCCCATAAATTCTAACAATTTGATGATTCGCGTTGGTAATAATGATATCATCTGGAAGAAAAGGGGATTTTTAACGAGAGTTCTTGCGATCGAGCAGCACTCTTGTGCCGCTAAACAAAGTAACTGCGTATATGTACCAAATTGAATGTACCGATGCCCATACGAACGCCGCTCTCGAAGTGCAATTTGTGAACTTCATTTCCCCATTTGCGGTTCTTCAGGATTGTCTGGCACTCCCTACAAAGAATAACAGCCGTAAGTCGTCCGGGTTTTTGAGACACAGCATGACGGCGGCAAAATCCGCGCGTTGTTCAATTTTATTTACTTGTATGACAGAAAGCAGTTACGAATTTTCAATCCTGCTCTGACAAAGGCGATCAGACTTTCATCCTCCGCAAACGAGATCATCGACTTTAACAGGAGCGATTCAGCATAACAGAGTTCCGCATGCACTTCCTCTGTAATATTAATTCTAGGTCATTCCTTTCATGCACCATGACGCTTATGTAAACAACTGTCGACTGTGTTATTAACGCGGTTGCGTCTGAGTTAGTCAGTGCTCAGGAAAAATTTGAATGTTAATATCGCGGTGTCATATTTCCGATAATAATATAGTAATGAAGAATCCATACAGCAGAGCGAAGATCAAAAGTTAGTTTTTGCGGGACTTTTGCGTTAACTTTGCTCGATAAGAAAAAATAGTTCTGTATTATATAATCTTATTCATTGATAAATATTTTTCCAAAGCACTTGTTAATGAGAAGTGACTATTATAATACGATATTTGTTGTTATCGCTAATTGACATTCGCCTTAAGCTATCTGTAGCACACGTAATGTGCGAGAGAGGCGACAAACGCCATGCTGAACAATATACACACAATAAGTGCATTACCGTTTGTATAATCGTCGTAATTGATCCGTTTGACTATTTTTCCGATGTTCTGCGTGATGCTGGTGTGCTTGCGATATTTAGAACACACGTTTATGCATTGCTTCACCGCCTCCGCCGCCCTTTCTATGTATTCCTATACGCATTGCATACGATGCGTTATTAAATGCAGATAATTTCACGCATGCAGACGATTGTAAGCGAGATGAATAAACATGTAACACAGAACATCATAATAATGTCCTTAACATATAAATTTACATTCTTTTAGAGCGCTTAACGCATTTCTTACGATCTTTAAAATGGTATAACTTTATGTTCTTTAATCTTTTAGCTACGGCGAAGCTGACCATGGCGCTGTATCGCCAGCACGGACTTCTCTGCTGCGGTGTGCGTGTAAACAAAAATGCACACAACTTTGAAAACCACGAAAACAAGTGAGATAATGACTTAGAAATTATTAAAAAATTATTTGGCGGAAAGCCACTTTAGTGGCGCTTCGTTCCACAGAATGACTTACAGGGAAGCCACTTTAGTGACGCATAGTAGCTAGAGAGTTAAAACGATATATAACTTTATATGTTAAGGCTATTATGCCGGTTTGTATAATCAGAGCGTAATAAACTCATAGTACATGTTCCATGGTAAGAATCCCCTCGAGAAACTTGATCACGCAGGACCCCAAGGAATGATACATGCTGCTGTTCGCCCACGGCTCCAAGATCTTCCTGGCCTGGTCGAAATCGTTGTTGAAGAAGAGGTGTATCGCTTTCCTCGCCTCCATTAACGACGTGTCCAAATCCATGGAGGTGAGCCTACAAAAGTAAGGAATATATTCGATATCTCAAGCAGAAAAACAACATGATATGTATATTTATATAAAATGAAACGTAATCTATGGGTGCACTCACTGTGGTAAAGACTCCTGCGCATCTTGGAACTGAAACATTTAATTAAAAATATATACTTATGAAATGTGTGATTTAAATCACTAATTTATAATTTTGTCGCGCAGATGTATAAACCGCTTACCTCATCGTCGCCTTCGACGTCCGACATGTTTTATCCGTCTTAGGAGGCAAATCTGTATAAAATTATATGAAATCAAGTCAATTTGCAGTTTAATATACTCGTATATCATTTTATATGCTTATTTTTTCATAATTGATGCATTAGAGGAGGAGAAATATTAAAAAGATGTTGCGAGGCAAGATACGGAATTGAGGAATATCGCGAGTAACGCTGCGTTAACAATTTTAACGAATTATCGCAAGCAGAGATAAAGAATCTAAAAGATCAATGTGCAAATAATATTCGATTTTATCAAATTTGCTGTGCTAACGTTTTAAAGTACGCGCGTGTTCTTGGTAATCGTTCGAAGATAAAATTTGCGTTATGCTGGAAACATCGAAATCTAGAAAAGCAGGTATGTCAAATGTTTCACGAACGCAGCGTTTATAATAGAAATGACGTCGCGAAATGCTATTAACACACGAACAAAGCAACAATCCGGGCAAGGTAAAAATATTTTATCCGTTAATCAGTGAACGTTAACGATTATGTTAGACAGCAAAAATGAGTATAGTTGGCCGCGTTATAGTTTGCGTTACAAACGGAACGCAACGCAATTTACACCATCAATTGTGCAAAATTGCGCGAGCGTTTTCGTGATATAAATGCTTAGAAATGTCAAGTCTCTCGATATTTTTTTATTCTACTGTAATATTCTAATCTATAGCATTATCTACGATGTATCTTTCAATAACTTCTCTTATCGTCTCCTCTCCACCTGTATTTATCGCGAGAAATTATCGCGCTACGGTCGGCCTCATCGAAAAGATGGAGAGCAATCTAATTTCCGGCTGCATTGAAGCGAACGTAATCAAACAGAAACTCCAAACTTTCTCATTTTCTACAGTTCCTCCTTTTTAATTCCATAAATTGATTCCGCTTTCCTTGCAGTGCGGCAAAATGGGGCTGCGAAGCCTTCCAAGCGCTGGGGAGCAAGAAACTCGCAGCAAGACCGCAAGTGAGCGCAACTACACGACAACCTAGAGATCGTCTGATATTTCTACACACACACACACACACACACATAATCTCTCCCGTGTGTCAAAGTCAAAGTCGCAGTTTTTTCAGAGATAAAATTAAAACATATTTTATCGCGGTAACGTCCTCAAACTGATTTGTACATTATTTCTCACTTAGAATTATTTGAAACGAAACGAAGGATACGAAGTGCATTAATCCGCTGATCTCGTACAGGCAAGATTCAACGGCGCTGTTTGTGAGGGAACGCTATGGTGAGGTTTCACTATGCGAAAGAAATCTCGTGAAAAAAAGAAAAACAAAACACAACGTCACGCTGCAGGATGAAGAATCGCGGTTCAGACTTACGATCTATCGGAAAACCTGCACGATCCTTCAACGAAAGACGACGGCGACCGACTGATGAGTAGAACGAGCGGATTTCGGCGCGGCGCGAAAGTAGACTGCCACGAAGAAAGTATTAAAGACTAGACCTACATCTCCTAAATCCCCGCGCGCGGAGGGGACGTGCATTGGAGAAAGCGCGCGCGCTCGAAATTTGCACGATGTTCTCGCGATACACTGATATCGCGACAATCGATATCGTGACCACGGCGGAATTGCGGAAGCGCGTTGCCGTACAATCGGCGTCAAAAACGTTTTTTTTTTTACTTTCAGAACGCATCCGTCTTGTCCAATAGAAGAATTTGTTCGTTAATAAAAGAATTTTCCCATGAGACAAGATGCATTCCGAGAGTGGCGCAAAAAAAAAACCGGATCTTTCTGATGCCGATTGTACACTCGGCGGAAAGACTCTCGAAGCGAAAATAATGGATTGCGATGAGGACGGTCGCTTTTAGCCAGATCTCGCGATCGTGCGGCGATACTGGATAACTCTATGCAACTCGCGAGGCCCAAGACGAATCGACAGCACGCGCGAATCTATTCGATGAGAAATCTCATGCGACTTATTGAGCGAAACTGAAGATTCTTGAATCTTCAAGCGATGAAAATCCCCTGAACTAGAAATCTTGCAGCCAATTTATGTAATTTATTATATCTATTATAATATAAAAGATAATTTAAAAGAAAAGATAAGATATCTGAACGAGAACGAATAAATGACAGACAGACGTACCGAAAGGTAAATAACGTGGAGACGAGCTGGATCGACGATAAGGCCGACCGGCGATCGTACTGATTCGCTGATCAATCGCTGTCACAGCACGCGTTCTGATAACACGCGGACGCGCGAAAGTAACAAAGTGCTGCGTAGCTCCTCGGCTTCGATGACTTGACACTTGACGCCCGCTCGCACGGTGTACGAAGCGTAGATGCGGACGAGTAATCGGTGCGCGATTGCGTACACAGTAATCACGGCGAATCGATCGGCATTAATAATTCAACTGAAAATAGAACGCAGTGCGTGCTTAAACGCTTAAAGCGGAGAGCCGGTTACATAGGCGTGCGGGATGAACGCGACTGCGGAATCGATCGTCGTCACCGGCGGCGAGCTCGTGCACGGCACGTCCTGAGCGACGGGGATCGCGTCCTGAGCGACGGGGATCGCGTCCGCGCGCGTGCCGCAGGATTCCACCTAGCCACAACGCACCCGTCACCGCGTGGTCCCCCCGAACCTCTTCCCTCCTCTGTCCCACTGTGTGTGTCTACCCCTTCCTCGCGCGGAAAGAGCCGCGGAATGAGCGACGCGAATTGCCCGAGAATCCGCCGCGATACTCGGGAAAACTCGCCGCCGGACCGCGACCTGACTGTTCGTCCGGGCTCCTCCGTCCGTCCGACAGCGTCGCCGGAGACACGTGACTCCGCGCATCCGCGGGTCGCTGCGAGCCGGGACGATCAGTAACGTAACAAGGGTCACGGAGCCATCCTTTGGCGGCTATGACCGTTACAGGCCATCTCCGGGGCTCTCCATTCGAAGGATCTTTTTCGCGTGATTTTCTCACCGCGCGGTTATTTCGTGAAATATACCGATGTATGCGCAGGTATACATAGAATTATAAAGTAGAGGGCCTGATCATTTCCTAAATCGGGAGTGTACGATTTCCTATCCTATCTTTGTATGTGTAAGGATTGTAAATCATTCATTGACGTCATATTTATGGCTTGGTCGTTATGATTAAGGCTATATACGATGCTTAATCTTATATAAGCATTAAAGAAAAAAAATTGTTTATTTGATAACAAGACATTTTATGATTCTCGGTGTCATTCAGACTCGTATTGATAGTCGTTACTTGAAACTTCTAGATGAGATACTCGCTTTTATTCAGTCAGATTTAAACTGAATTATGATAAGTATGACACTTATATATACATATAATCGCAATTCAATTGAAAAACTCTTACATAACTCTACATTTACATCTGAATATCTCAAGGCTCTGATCTTCCGCATTGTCTATCTCTTTTTAATGACGTCAGAAGCGAGAAAACGCATGCTAACAATTCTTGTGAAATACGTTAAAATAAAAATATATATCCATAAAGTAACACTTGCAATCAATTAAACAAATTTGTAAAATATTCTGTACACTCCCCTTTTGTTCTAAATCAATAATTTGCCATAAATTAACGTGACATACAATTTATCTTCTTAACCTCCCAATGAAAAATTTTTCATATATAATTATATAAAACTATATAAAATTATATATAATTATACATAATTATATATAATTTTATATGATTATATATAATTATACATAATTATGTATGGACAAATTTCATACATAATTTTGCATGAAAAATTTTTCATCAGACTATGTTTTCGCATTTAGGTTATTTTACAATAAATTATTGTAATTTGATTGTTAGAGCAAAAGAGGAGTGCACGGAATATCTTACAAATTTGTTTAATCAATTGCGAATGTTATTTTATGGATATATATTTCTATTTCAACGTATTTCGCAAGAATTTTTAGCATGTATTTTCTCGCTTCTGATGTCATTAAATAGAGATAAACAGTGCAAGAGGCCAGGAGCCTTAAGATGAGTTTCAAATATTTAGGCCTGGTTGTTCCAATTTCTTGTTAAGTTAATTGATAGTTAAATCACATATCTGTCTTTGGGCCATTTTCACCAACTTCGGTTAACCTAATCGGTCGATTAAATGTCATTGTTGCCAACTACAAAACTAATGTTGCAATTCTAAGAAGAATCGTAAATCTCGTAACTTGTTCTCGTAAAATTCGTCAGAACTTATGAGTAGATTTACAAGTCTATGCAATATCATATGTCGTACAATTACTCGTAAATATCTACGATTTTATGTAATTTACAATATTTACAAGTGATTGTAGACGAAATTGACATATGATATTGCATAGACTTGTAAATCTACTCATAAGTTCTGACGAATTTTATGAGAACAAGTTACGAGACTTACGATTCTGCTTAGAATTGCAGCATAAACCTAATTTCTAAATAGCTGTCAGGAATCATGTAATATTGCTATTACCAAGTGTATGTAATATAAAAGTGTATATAATATAAAAGTATGTAAAATAAATAATTTTAATTAGGAGTATTACCTTATTATTAATTATAAATATTAAATTAAGAACGAAGATTTATGTCAGTTTTCGAAACCTCGTTTCCAATTCTGATCTTTAATTTAATCGACCAATTAAGCAAACCAGAGTTGGTGAAAATGGCTCTTTGTCTATGTTGAAGAAAAAATAAATATATATGATCAACTATCAATTAACTTATTAGAAGCTTGGAACAACCGGTCCTTAATGATTATTAATACGAGCTTCAGTTCCGAAACTATTTTCACACTTTTATCGAATAAAGTTGCAACATTTCAAGTTGCAGAATTGAAAACCACTGCTGTATGCATGTGGTAATCGGTTTGCCCCTTCCTCATACAAATATATATAAATTATTTCTCTAAAAATAATATCTTTTAATTTAAAATTCTTTTTTCCAAATCTCATAAATATCACGCTCTGTATTGCTACTCTGGCCCCTATCATTATCGATTACTGCGCATACACGTTAGCAGTGGCTTTCAATTCTGACAGCTTGAACCGTTGTAACTTTATTCAATAAAAAGTGTAAAAACCGTTTAGCAACTGGTACGTATATGAGCTATTACTTTTATCTATGAGTTATCACTTGACGGTTTTTAAACGAGCTTCTTCCTTTTTTCCTTTTTCTTGCGTATTGAAGGAAATACTATTTCTTATTGGAGACGCAACACGATTCAAATTCGATGTAAAGTCCAATTGAACGTGACCAATGTTTTAATACGACTCATTATCTGATAACTTATTAATGCAAGTTCATATATCAAGTACAGGAATATTCAGAAAACGTGAAGAAATCTTATGTGTGGAAGAATATTCAAAGCAGCTTTATTGATCTGGGATCGATTGAAGAATATTTGATGCGATCTCTCGAGCTTCGATTTCAACTCTCGACCTTCGATCCTCAATTGCAATTATTGATCCTCGATTTTTTTATAAATAACGCAATAATCGCAGAATGAAAGCGTAACTTATTATTTAATCGTTTATCATATCATTATTGTTTTTTTGTTACTTGATTTGCGTCATGCAGGTATGAACACTTTTTTGAAGCAACTGCGTCAGAATCACATCACATATACGTTTATTTGTCTGTACATAAAGATAATGAACGAAAAATGCTGCAAAAGAATCTCCCTCGCAACGTAAAGATAATTAAGTTATGAACGTTACAATGTAGGTTCACTGCACGCTTGCGGGTGAATATAAAACAGCACAATCGTGTGCTCTCTTGCAATAATAGATTGTTATAGGCATCGGACAATTTAGCGTTAGATACAGCTGCTTTAAATTGATAAAAGAATTAATGCCATCAATATCGCAATTCCAAAGAATAGATAACATCACTAAACAAAGTAAATAAAAAAATTGACTTACAGAGATCATTGTCTTTTAAGAATGTTTTTACCAAATGAATAATTTGCAAATTAATGATGTATGTATGTATTTGCCAAAAATTTCGCAATGAACAGATTCTTGACCCAAACAGCACGAATTTTTAAAAGACGTCTAAAAAATAAAAGATAACAGATAGACAAACAAACTGGAATCTCGAGAAAGATACTTAGTGACAAATTATCGATACAAATTTATCGATCCGTCAAATATGATTATAAGATATGTTCTGGATTAATTATTAAATATCGGCTAAAGATAACGCAGAAAGTCTAATTAGACGATTGACGCTCAGAATTAGATTTATTAAAATTCGCGGTCAGACTTTGTATCGAAATCGTGTGATCTCGAGAACAAACAATATTTTTTCGATAAACTATAGCGTATAACCTCTTTGTTCCGTGCGATAACTGGCATTATCTGTGTAATTTATGACTTTATATTTAGTGAAAATACGCATACATGCACTAGTCTATGTAAAACTGTAACAACCTAAATCTATAATTATATAATGAAACGCAGCCTTGAGAATTATAGCTTTGTTTTTCTTATCGTACGACAGTTTTACGTTTTGTGCGTGCAAGTCACACAGTACAAACTTCCATATATTGCGTAAGATCCCATTATTACAATTTTCGTTATGAAACAATGTATCTTTACCTTTTTGTGATTCTTATATAAAGAGAGACTGGAGGTTGAATCGCGTAAAGCGCCGACAATTTTCAAACAAATTACTTGTAATCAGATGAAACTTTCGATGTAGTAATAAGATTCGCATGATTATTGTGTATTCGCATGAATCATGTGTGGCACGTTAATTTATTAGTCACGTAGTTAACACAACTTCCTTAAAGGCGTGATTCATGAAGAATGAAACAGAATATAGAAACTAAGATACACATAAGGAAATATGAGTAACTTCTCTTTACAAAATAAAAAAATTATCTCAATGCTAAAACCGGTTTGTACAATGTTCAATAACTTGCATAATCATGATAACAGCCCAGATAGCACAGAGAATTTTAAAAAAATTCAGTCGTATGTCATTTTGAGTTTATTTTTATATACAAAAAGAATTCTTTTCACTGAACTGAACTCTGAAAAATTCTTTTTACATCTGAAAATGAACTCAGAATTGGTGACATACGACTGAATTCTTTTTGAATTTTCTGTGCTATTTGGGAGATTTTCTGAGAACTCTAAGATCGATATTTTTCTTAACCGGAACGTCGATTTTCGCAATGTTAGAGCTTTCAACACATCTTTCTGAATCTTGATCCAAACAACAGAAATTTCTAAAAGACGTTTAAAAAGTATCCTATTTTTTAGACATTTTTTAAACATATTTTTAAGAAGTTTATGCTTTTTGAGTTGAAAAAAAAATTAATCCTATTTGTATATATCTTATCTGAATAAAAATTAATCAATCGAAACATAGAGTTTCGTTACATATTTGTTTACTCCCCTTATAGAAATATCATACTAAGAATCATTGATAATTACTTATTTTCAATATTAAAAATACTGGATAATAAGTAATTATCAATGATTCTTAGTATGATATTTCTATAAGGGTCTACATTCATAAAAAGCTCACCTTCCGTCAAAGAAAAATTTATATTAAATTTATCGGAAAATTCTTTCATCAAGATGCAAGTTGCGAAGGATTGCGTAATTTCAGCAAACTTACATTCGTTCTTTTATCCGTAAAATAAGGAAAGGAGTAATTTACAATTTAAATAAGAACAGAAAGGAATACACATATTGCAAGTGACATTAGGTACTTTAAATCTTAAGCCTTACAAACTAACCAATCACAGTCGATTATTCTCCTCAAATTTGACTGCGATTGGTCAATTTTTAAGGCAATATAGACCGGAGGTTAGACAGTAACCCCTTGTCCACAACCTTGCTTTAATTCCTAAGCCTTAAGAAATTGACCAACCACAGTTGATTATTTAAATAATCGACTGTGGTTGGTCAATTTATTACGGCTTAAAGATTAAAGCAAGGTTATAGACAAGGGGTAAATAGACGTAAAGCTTAAAGCAGGCATAAGCAGGCATAATATATCATCATAAGGTAGCATACACACCAGGCAGCCAGCGGTCGCGCCGAAGACGATCGTTATATGTCAAAATCGTATCTGCTGGCCGAGGCGCGCGAGCCGACGAAAGCAAAGTCGTCGCCACTGAATCGAAGTATAGCTCCGAAGAGTGCGGAGCGTGTCGCGTACTTGCGAAAACGACTCGTAATCACAATCTGTCGTGATCTAAACGACGACAACAATCAAGACAGAAATAACGCGGTCGTCGCGCCGACGCCGCGGCATAGACAACACTGGTAGACTAGAACCCGCTGGCTAGAAAACTAACGCTAGCGGTAAACCTGCTGGCTCAGTTCCGATTCTCCACACGGGGGATCGGCAGAATTGCGCGACCACAGCGACGGCAAATGTAAGCGCGCGTCTCGTCCCGTTGCATCTCACAGAACACTCTTTTTTCTGCGGTCATCAACTCATACAATAACGTTCGCGCTACTGACGCAACTTACGCAACATAACCTTCTCGGGCCAATTAGTGTCCGCCGTATTAGCCCACAGAAACGTGTATTTCTGTCTACCGCAAAGTGCGTCTGTGCGTAATTTAATTATAGGAATAACGCGTAGCGTGCTATAGAGATTGTCCACATCGGAGTTGGGCGCGTCGTCCCCATCAAGTACATGAGAAATCATATGTTACGACGACGCGTTTGTTATTTTTGCGCTCTTCCCTGCCTCTATTATTTGTTCTTCGCGTTATTTTCATTGTTATTTTCGTCTCTGACCTTATCATCATACCGTCTAGTCATCAGATGGCTTGGCTTAACATTATATACTTGACACCTTGTATATATAATCCAATAAGAATATATGTGGCTAACAGTACCTTTGACGATCATATGTGTGATGAAACATTTCAATTTATGAGTTTCATATTTTTTTGTTAGAACATTAGTTGTTGTGATATTATATTTACACATATAATTGTGTAATTTTCTCTTATTTATTGTTCAAATTATTAGAATAATGCTTGTCATGAGATAACAATATCACAAAAATAGATTTTTGGCACTTGTAGGTTTTTAGTAATTATTGCAAGGGTATGAAGAACGATCCAAACAGCAGCAGTTGTGTCGTGAGATCACCAAGTGCCAGTTAACTCGATATTTCTCCACTATGGAGAATCAAGGCTTCCATCATCAGACTCTTTCGACTCATCAGTCCTTCTGGAAGAAGAATACACGAGCTGTGCCAGGAAGGTGTATATCTCCTTTGATATTATTACTTTCCGTACAAGTACATTGTGTTGCAAATTAACTTACTAATTATTGTTTTATTTCAAGGCCAAGTCCAAAGCAAGATATTAGACATGGCAAGTTTAATACTATGGCAATTGGGTCTGGTAATCTGACAGGTACTACTAATAGTAGTGGCAATACCGGTGGAAGCAGTGGCTCTACTTCCTTCCAAGACTTTCAAGAAAGTGTTGATGATGCTTGGGACTCGGGTGACGATGAATTTTGTACTGTCTCAGATGTGAAGATATCAAAGAAGGTCAGTCACTCAGCAGCCCTCAGTGTCATTAACAGCCACAGATCGGGCAACGTGTGTGCAGAAAGACAAACAAAGACAGTTCAACGGGAAATTATTCCTGAAGAGAAGAAGGCAGAGGCTCTTCAACGACTGGCAGTGCAGCCATTGCATCTGCGCAATGCGAATTTGCTTGCTCACTCACAAGTGATCAACAGTCAGCATCTCACCAGCGAGGACATGGATTTGAAGTATAGCGTATCGCCTCAGCACAAACCAACACAGTTTCCTGGTAGACCACAACCATTAAGGCAAACTAACGCACCTGCCAAGTTTTTTATACCTTCTAAAGAACAAGGTATACATCCAATATTACTCTCAGTGATCAAGTATCACTATAACATCTGAGAAACAAATTTAACTTGCCTTCCTCTGTTACTTGCATAGTTAATAGCACAATATTACACACAGAATACATACTGCATTCAAGTAAATGTTATTTGTTTCAAATATTTTACAAGTTTTATATCTGTCATAAATTCATTATTATAATTAAAGCAAAAATGCAATTTGCTTGATATATAGAGTGAACCAACTTATTATTTGATAAAGTCTTATAATATTCTTGTCAAAAGAATAAATTTTTTTTGCATACATAATGAGCTTTTCTAAAATTTATGATTTTATTTTAAAATTATTATCAAGAAAATATGCTTTGCTAGAGATAACCATTGCTCAAGAGAAAAAAATACTGAGGTGAACTCAGTAATCACATTTCTTAGCAGTAATAATATTCTTTTGTGTGCACTGCTTTATTTGAAGAAAGAATTGTTAGATCTTACATCATGATCTCTTTGTAACTGTGGATACATGAAATATTGTTCTATCATATAATTACATACATCTATGTTTATAAAACACATCTATGTTTAAGAAGCACTTATCTTGTTCAGATGGCGAAAGTAAAGTGGATAAATTTCAATTACTTCTGGAAGCGTCTGTGCTGAATTTGGAAGAACTAAGGCAATTGTCATGGTCGGGTGTACCCGCCAAATTGCGTTCAGTCACTTGGCGGTTGTTGTCTGTAAGTAGCGAAGGTAAAACATGATGATACCGCGTCGACAAACTCCATTGATAGAGTGCTCCCATGAAGCATCACGTGAGCGTATTTGTGACATTTGCAGGAATATTTGCCGGCTAATCTAGAGCGTAGGCAGCATGTGCTGGAGCGCAAACGTTTGGACTACTGGAACCTGGTGAAGCAATACTACGACGTTGAACGCGATGAGGCCTTTCAAGACACGTATCGACAGATTCATATCGACATACCGCGGATGTCGCCGCTCATATCGCTATTCCAGCAGACGACGGTGCAACTAATATTCGAGAGAATACTATATATCTGGGCAATCAGGCATCCTGCGTCCGGCTATGTCCAGGTATTTGGCGTGAAATTAACTTTATCGGGAGCGAAATATTAAGATTGTACAAATCAATTGTTCTCACAGGGTATGAATGACTTGGTGACACCCTTCTTCTTAGTCTTCTTGCAAGAGGCCGTACCTGTGCAAGCTTGGCAAGATCTAGAGAATTACGACGTAGCGTCATTGTCGAAGGAGCAGCGTGACATCATCGAGGCCGACAGCTTTTGGTGCCTGTCGAAATTCCTAGATGGTATACAAGATAATTACATATTTGCTCAATTGGGAATTCAGCATAAGGTGAATCAATTGAAGGAATTGATACAGAGGATTGATGGTGAATATTCAAACGTAAGCTAATTAATGTGGCATGTTAGTATGTTTCTTGAATGTATATCTTTTAGCGCCGCTGCATCAGCACTTACATCAGCACGGGGTGGATTATCTACAGTTTTCGTTTCGGTGGATGAATAATCTACTGACCAGGGAGATCCCACTTCATTGTACTATTCGTTTATGGGATACCTATCTAGCGGAATCTGACAGATTCGCTTCATTTCAGCTCTACGTATGCGCGGCCTTTCTTCAGCGTTGGAGGCATCACTTACTTTTGCAACCTGATTTTCAAGTAATTCATTAATCAATAATATATATACAAGTAGAGAAACGTCAATAGATCTATTGAATTCAAATAATTTTTACCTACAAAGGCTTTTGAAATATACAATTTAATTTAATCAAAACTTACACTCAATAATAATAATAATAATCAATTATTAGAATCGATTTTTGCGAGAAGAATAAATCTTAAATCTTTATGTATAAGGATAAAGTTTTATCATAGATTTCTTTTGTGTGTTCTTTTTTCTTATATATTAATCAATCTTTTACAAAGATACGATAATACCGCTACACGATTATAATTTTTCTTTTATCAACTATAGGGGCTGATGTTAATGCTACAAAACCTGCCCACTCAGAATTGGACGGATTCGGAGATTGGTATGTTGGTTGCCGAGGCGTACAGGTTGAAGTTTACATTCGCCGACGCGCCGAATCATTTGCAAGCTCACGATACCAGGTGACCATTTTTAGACGACTTGAGTTGAAGTTATTATCATGAATAAAAATAGTGGCCAAACCATCGAGGAGTTGACGATACAATGTTATCGCTAGCCCTCCTCTTCCGTCTTACCGTCGCTATATATGTTGCGACGTTCAGTTTATCACGGCCATATTGTGAAAGTTTCTGGGACGCGTGGTGTTCTACGTTTTCTCCTACGTCGACTATTAGGTTTTCTCAATTTCTACGCGCGTCGTTGTAGAATTTATTCTTTTGTTATACGAGGAGGATTTCGTGGAGATGTTTTAGGTATACTCGCCATATTCCGCACCGGAATAAAATATGTAAATGCGATTTGAAAACAGGCGCGAAGAATGTAACGCGAATCAATTGCCATTTCCCGGTTTGCATTACATTTTTATATATAGTAAGTCTCAGACCTTATATATACAGATAATATATAGACAGAAAAGTTTTATATATTGATCCTGTTGTGCTTTTACAAGACAATTGCAGCCCTTCCGCCAATCCACGTACGTTCCTATTCATTTGTTTATTATTATCATAAAGTCGGTTTACAAGTTCTCCAAACAAAATATTAGACAACAAATAATTTCTTATGTCACATCTGCATGCTAATGATTTGAATACTTGAAGAACATCGTAATACTACATTATTAACGTAATTACATTTTATTTTGATATGTTTTTTATTGTCGTATATTATTGATATATTTTTATAATAATCGTCGTATTCACACTTGAGATGTGTGACAAAATACATAGTACTAGTTATGAATTCTATAAAATCTACTCTATGTTAAATTTTCTATTATTACTCGGAAACAAGATCGTGCAAATTTATAAAGATTTATGTCTCCAATTAGTTTCTAATTCTAGCTATACTACATGCTTACAAGATACGTGTAGCCATACTACATGCTTACAAGACAAATCGAGAAAAGGAGGTAGGTATGCACTAGGTTTTAAGATACGATATAAATAAATACGACTAATATATCTGCGATTAACTATTATCATCTAATTACGTTTTTACGCAATTATGCTTCAGTCGTCTATATCGATTTGACCGTAATCTCCATCATCCAATGGTGGCATCATCGAGAGTGTCTCGTTAAGATCAAATGTTTCCTGTAACATAATGAAAAAAAAATGATTCGATTAAATATCTGACAGATATACTACTTAAACATACATGTTCACACATAAAAGTGTTTAAAAAATATTTATACCTTGAGAGTTTTCATCAACGAATCTTTTGAATACTTGTTTAAAATTTTATATAATTTGAGACATTCAGTGATACGTACACTTACGTAATCAACGTGCACCGGTGTTGGATATATACAAGGCATACATTCCATTTGCGTAACACCATTGTTGTCGGCAGTGCACTCACAAAATTGGCACTGGTCAGGCGTAGCCGTTAGGGCGACCCTTTTGGCGAAAACGCTTGCAAACTTTTTGTTCGAGCCAGATTCGTGCCACTGACGCAGCTTGTCGCCACTGAATATTGTGCCATTTGTCTCCAGGGACAGTGGAGTACAATAACCCAACGCGTTTTTTGAGAGCTTCACTTGCCTTCTCAAGTCTACGTCGCCTACTAGCATCCTCGTGTCTTTTTTAGTATATGACTTGGTCGCATCTAAACCATAGAAGATCTTACTGATCTTCTCTTTATCAAATTCGAAATCACCATCCATTAGTATGTGCAGGGTGATATCGTGTTCCAGTAGAACTTGATGTATTACAGAATAATCCAGCTGAGAAGAAAGATCGATGAAGACGAAATTTGATTATCAAGAAAAAAAAATATGATGCAGAAGAGGGTATCGAAAACATTTCAAATACGAGGCAGAAGCGGGTATCGGAAATATTTCGAAAAAATTATCATGGTGGTCAAGATGGATTATCAAAGACGGAAATTCAAATATTCACGTGATATTATTTCGACTGAAATTAAAAGACAATCATCAAAAATTCAAGAAATCGACATAATTCAAACACGATCAACGGTTGAAATCGGCAAAAGTACTCAAAGTATTAAGACAGGAATTCGAGAACAATTAAATTTCACAAGACTACGCCTGAAAAAGAAGAAACTTACCGTCTGATTCTCCGACTCGCAATGCGAACAAGGTATCAGTATGAAAGTTTTGGACACGCCACCTCTGAAGACGAGTTGCGAAGCAAAGCCGATCGCGGCGAAGATGTCCTGACTGCCACTGCCGATAGACATATAATCAAAATAATCTATAAAGCGCCCCACGTTCTTGGTAAAGATCTGTCCGTCGAGAACGATGCTTCTGGGTTGGTCGTACACACCGTCGCCACCGAAGACCACCAGAGACCAACGATTACCTATGAGACCTTTGTCATTTAGCTCCTTGTTCAACTGCGTGATCAACATCTCCATGCTGCTGTTGAGCTTTATGTCGCGGTTGCAGCTCTTCGCCTCGACGATGAACACCACATCGGTTGATTGCGGCACCGTGGCGTTTTCCAGCCGTTTGAATCTTCCTTCAGCTATCTGACTGCCGTCCATCATGCTACACGTAGTGCACCGATCCGGTATTCGTAGATACGTATTGTAGAACATACACGTTTGCATATATGACATCGCCACGGTGCACACCTCGGCCTCAGTGAAGCTACTCAGGCACATGTTGGTGTACTCTTTTGGATTGATTACGCCGAAGCAAATGCCAAATTCTGAGCTTTTGTTTACGAACAAGTCCTCGCAAAAGAGAGAGACCACGCTGTCCTGGTCCATGGTCCTGCTAACGCGATTCGTTACGTCGCTCGCGCAGCCGTCAATAGACCAGCTGTGAGCGAAGCTGTCGATATCTTTGATAATCAAACCGTTCGATGCCAAGTGGTCGTCAAATTGTTCATTGCTCATCGTACCGAGCAGACCGGCGGTTTTACCGTAATACCAGCCTGATAGCTCCAGCGTACATAGATTGAACTTGAAATTGCACTCGAAGCGGAATTGATTGTTTTTGCGTTCCACTATCACCATGTTCTCTTCTTGGTAGACGTACGTTGTGCCGTGGTCCAATTCAATAGGCAGTTGCAGATTGGTCGTAGTTCCCGCTTCTTGAGAAATTAGTTTCGTTGTCTAAAAAAAGAATATATACTTTTAACATATAATTCAATAGATAATTGATTATTCTACATTATATATATATATATATATATATATATATATATATATATATATATATAAAACATAATTGTAGCTTTTCTACTAACGTCGTTAAAGAGGTCCAACTCGATAGCATTATTTCCAATTAGTACTATAATTTGATGAGTGATATCCTCGCCTTGATTATATTTCACTAAAATAGCAAAAGTATCGTGCACAAAATCCTTTGCTAATAAATAGGTGCAACTTCCAGCGAAATCAAAGTAACGGCCGTCGAAAGTGACGTAATGCTGAGAACCAATGATCATAGCTTGCGCTAAAACACACAACGTACATTACAAATAATTGATTATTAATTTCTCAACGAGAAATATTATATCGAGTTCAAACATTGTTAAACTCTCATAATCATAAGATAAACCTTTGAATGGCGGTAACCAATTCGACAGGTCCATGTAGGGCTTATACTGATAATAGAGGCCCCAAAAGGTAGTGTTTGAGGTGACGAAGTACGCTTTGACATCACTTATTGCTCGTAACTCCGGTATCTCGTGGAACTCGGGCGTCTGATTGAAAGCATGCCAAGACATCGGTAGTTTTTGTTCTAAGCACATCAAACCCTGATTAGGATCGAAGATAAACATGGTCTTAGCTTCCCTGTAACGACTTTCAGCCTGCAACGCCGTCTGACTGATGTCCATCATCTTAGAGTGTATAAGTCGCAGTAGATTTTCCAGCTTGGTTTTAACTTCGAAATATTCATAAATGTAATTGATCTTGTTGTACACTTGATCAAGCTTCTCCAAGGCGTATTTGGTGGATGGTAGCTTCTTCAATTCTTTCAGCTCCAACAAGATATCGTCGACCACGTCCTTCAGCTCCTTGCCGAATGGCATGTAGACGAAGTAACGGTCCTTCAGAAACTGTATTATAACCCGCGAGTATTTATTAATGTTAGTCACTATATCGTTCGCCTTGACGTCGCGATAGACCTTGTCGATGTCTTGCGTGAAGTTAGTGAAGTGGTCGAAGTAAGGCGACGTAATGATCTCTTTCTTGCGGTCATACAAGAAGTCCAGCACCTCTTTGCTCGCTTTCCATGTAGCTGTTTCGAGATAATGAACGAACTGAATGAACATCGGTTCCATCCATTTCAGGAAATGATACCATTGTTGCGAGAGAGACGAAGCGAAGCTACTCCACAGATTCTCGATGTACTTGATGAAAGACACGTGTAGGTCCTTGATAAACATGTCATATTTTTCGATTAACTTTTCAATTACATTCGCCACTTGCGACAATGAATCGCCTCTCAATACGGCAGCAATTAACTCGGAGACTTTATTATAAGCGTTCTTGAAGGTCTCGATGAGCCAAACCAGAGAATTTCGTAGCGCCTCACCGGATTCACCCATTATCTCTCGAATCTCGTTCAATATATTGGGGAGTGATTCGATGTGACTTCGTAGAGACAATTCGTCGATGAGGTATATACCGAAACCGACGACATCTTTAATATAGAAGTCGTTAGCGTTGTACGAGTCGTTTAAGTACATCTTGAGATATTCGAAGTCATCTTCGAGAGTTTTTAGATCACTATATGAGAGAAATAGCATAGATTGAGTATATAAAATTGGTTAAATGAATGATATACAAAGATAATTATTTCATTTTAGTATTTTTTCTCATTATAATTTTATATTATTTTGGTTGTTTTTTACTAACTTCTCGTAGAACTTGTATGATGAAAGTATGTGACATAATCTAATAACAGATGTCTCATGTACTTACTTCCAATCGTCGAGGAATCCTGAAATATCCTGTTGAGCATCATCCCAAACATCCGCGATAACACTAAAGACTTCGCTTTTAATGTATTGTTTCCAATAATCGATGTCATTATTTATACCATTGCACATCTCATTGAAAGCTGTTTTCATAGTATTCTGCAAGCATGGGATTCTAGTTAAACATAATAATTTCTCGAAATTGTGTCAAGTATGAGTGATATTAATGAATTTATGTTACAATAATGTCGCTCTTGAGTTCGGGCCGCCATCGCAAAGTCGATGTGATGAGTCTCGAGTGGTTCAATTTCAGGTAGAAGGAAATGTCTGATATTGTCAAATCATCCTCATATGTCCTCCAGATGTTGAATATTGCGTTGCGAGCATCCGGAATATTACCATACATTCTTAGACTTTCTATCGCGTCTGTAGACGAGAAAATATTACGGAGGTATAAGAAAAGACGAAGGAAAATATTCTCCATTCTCTTCTGGCCATTACCTTTAGATTCTCTAGTCTAGTATTTTAACCTTCTTTAAGTCAATAATCTATCAGTAATCAATTTAATTTAAGTCAGTAGTCAGTCTTTAATCTGATATGTGTTAATTGTTGTTGCGAGAATCAACGTTTAGAAGTAACGAGTCGTTACAATTTTCACTACTTGTTGCACCAAGTTTCAAAGACTCTCTTTTATCTGTTATTTTCTATTTTACGATTCATTAGCGTACGTTCTATGTATTTAAAAAAGTTATTACTTTACTAATGAGAAAAAGGAAATTAACGATAATAAGCAACGAGTCACTTCCCCTGATGTTACTATATATAAACTTAATGTTAATAAAAAATTTCCTAATCAAATTGTTCTAAAAAATTGTATATACTTAACGATAATAAGCAACGAGTCACTTCCCCTGATGTTACTATATATAAACTTAATGTTAATAAAAAATTTCCTAATCAAATTGTTCTAAAAAATTGTATATACTTAACGATAATAAGCAACGAGTCACTTCCCCTGATGTTACTATATATAAACTTAATGTTAATAAAAAATTTCCTAAACAAATTGTTCTAAAAAATTGTATACACTTATTACACTTACCGGGTGTGTAATTCATCGTCAACCAGATAAGCTTCTCACTCGGATCAAAGAAGAAGGCACCAGTAGCGTTAAGTTGCGGCGTGTCGATGATACTACCGTTGACGATGTATCGGGGATGCGACGGATAATAACCGATCCTGAAGTACTTGACTGCTTCGTTGTTCACTCGGCGGAAAAGAATTTCCCTCGAATTTCGGTCGATCCGGCTAATCAGTTCACCAGTCTCCCCTGGCATATAACCGCGTTTGTATCGCGCATGATTCACCGTTTCAAGTAGCACGAATCCATGTCTGTGGACGAATCCTTCGACATCAAGGTCCATTTTAGTGTTAATATGATTGCCGATTATCTTGTAAAGGTACTTTCTGTCGGATTCATCGCTCTCATCTCTCAACAGCGCGGACAACGTCAACATTTTATCAGTGTTGGTGGAATAATCCACGGTGAAGATGACGTTCAACAGGTCTCTTTGGTCTCTCTTCATCAAATCGCTCCTCATTGTCACGACTTTCTCGAACGTAGGATGCCAGAAGCTCAGTACGGCTCGCTGCAGACTCTTCATCGACGTGGTAGTAACATTGGTCCAATTGAAACCCGCGCCGACGTTCTTCAACTTTTCGTCGTTTCGTTCCCATCGTAAGTTTGCCTCGGAATTGACCTCGTCGTTAGTGATCTTATAGGAGCCTTCCAAGGTATAGTTATGTCGTGGGTAAGAAATGTTGAGAATGATAAACTGATTGTCCACGAATTCACTTGTCATATTCATAATGTTTACATGATACGACGCCCAGGCATCTTCCGCTAAACTCAGCCAAGTATACTGATCAAACTCGCCTGACAACACTTGATAGTCCGTTTTAAATTGAATGGTCCTGTTCGAGTGCATTGCCTTCAGATAAATATTTTGGCCGGTGTGAGTTGTCCTGATCTTGGACTCGCCGGCGACGTTGAAAGCCGATCTGTTATCGAGTCTATAAATATTCACTTGTTTGAACTCCACAGTAGGATAGTTAGTGCCTTCGTTGCCGCCACTGTACTCGTACTGATTCACGTAGACGAGCCCTATGGGCTTGTAAATGTTCTCAATGGTGATTTGAATGTGATCCTTCTCGAAGCCGGCTCTGGACTCACTCTTCGAATGGTATTGAGCAAACAGTAACTTTTTATCGTTGTACAACAATGTCGAGTGGCCCGTTGTGACTTGAGGACGTTTCTTGTAGCCGTAAGTCATGTGGCCTATATGACGAGCATTCAAGGGAACTTCTATGTGTAGGATACCTTCTAGATTTGAATCAAGTCGCTCGCTGTGGTAGCTGTAATCTAAGTTTATCAAGGCCGTGTTGTTTGTCCAGAAGAATTCGATGAATCTTTTATTCTGCTTCCTACAAACATTGACAAGAAGAAGACAGTAATAAGAGAATATATAAGAAACGATAAGAATTACTTAAAAATTATTGAAAATTTTGCATGTCTTAGAGAAGATTATTTTTACAGAAAGTAAAATTTTGGAAAGTGTTAATAGCGAAAAGAAATCTCAATAAGAATTAACTTACAAAGTAGTGAACACGACAAAGTTGCAGCCGAGGTACGACAAGCGTTGTCCGGACAGAGTGCCGTTTAGAGTTCCGTTAACGTTGATCAGACTTTCGTAGGATATCCTCGCGGTGCCGATCTGTTGCCTAGGCGGGTAAAACAAATCGGCATTGATCAAAATCTGCTTGGACGTATAGTCATAAGTGAAAAGCAGCACGAGAGTTTCCTCTTGTAGGAACTTCGGTGTATAGAGGGAATACTTGAGCTCCATCTCCTTCTTAACAAAGGTGATGTTGAAAAGGTTGTTCACGGACTGACTTGGCAACAAGCCCCAAGTCACTCGGAAGTGCCCGTTGATGTCGGGGGTAATCATTCGAAGCTGAAATTTGGAAAATTTTATGATGCATTCGTGGAAATGATTTTGAGCCTCAATATTTGAAATTATACCGTGAGAAAATCTCATACATACCGAGCCGTCCGAGACGTAATTTGTTTTCGACCGATTCGTGTTGTAGCCCACGACGTAAGAAATGTCTTGCATACTTTCTTTGCTCATGTGATAACTGATCAGGAACCGATGACTGTCATCATTCGGGGGCGGCAATTTCATCATGAACACCGCGTCGACGTTCTTTTGATTACGGAAACCTATGGACGCGTTCGTCTCGAATTCCCAAGCTTTCCGATCGATGTCCAGATCGAATCCTATATTGAAGTTTCTGTTCAACCGGCCCGGGTTCTTGAAGAATATATGAGTAGCAAAGTCCTTCCTGTTCGATCCCGCGGTCTCATATTCTGTCACCAGTTTCGCGAACATGTCCACCATATAGATCAGCGTCCATTGAGCAGCCGCGTGGTACCGATTGTCGTTCAATTGATGACTCAACCGAATGTCGCCGCTCGTGTTGGTCAGCATCAGATTACCGTTCACCGTCAGGATTCTGCTGTCGTTCCAGGGTGTCTCGCCATGAATGTACAGACTGGTATTGCCATTCACCTGCACGTTCATGAAAGTGCTCAATTTGTATGTGTTGATCTCACGAGTTGTCCGAATATTCGTATGTGCTCTCACGTCCCAATTTAAAGAGTTGATTATGTTCGCATCGACAGTACTGTTGAAAGATCCACCATCCATATCAAATTCGAGACTGTATTTCTTCCTCTGCAGTTTTAAGATGATTTTATCGGTGTTGGCGCTCTTTGGCTCGGCTGTTATGTCTATCGATGTTAGAGTATTATCCTGTGTGACGATGACACTATCGACGTCATAGGATTTCGCGAGCAACTGGTTCTTTAGTTCTCCTTTGACTTTGTACAGTGACTCGCTGATCTTGATCAAGTCTCCGTGGAATTCGAAGTGCGGCTCTTTCGACAGCGGTGTATGCAAATCGGCATCAATTTTACCGTTGTTTAGATTTCCGTTCAACTGATACTCCTGTTCGTCGAGATGCTTCACACAGACGTTCAACTTGGCGGTGTTGTTTACGTGAATTGCGTTGCTGTAGAGCACGTCGGTCTCGAGTGATTTTAGGGCTTTTATCCAGCTTTTCAGCTTCGCAGAAATTCTCACCAGATCCTCCTCTGTTTGCCAGGCGCACTCGAAGGACGTCTGACGAAAGACGGTGGCATTTCAATTAATTAGATGCTTTGTTTAATTAACGATAACTCAGTTTTTGTGAATTGTGAACTCTAGAGTGCAACTTCCATAATTCTTATCGAATTAATGGGTGGAATTAGTGGGAAAATTAGATTATTATTGTTCAAATAAAATTCTCTATCTTGAAATAAAAAATTATTATTGGAAAACTTACGTATTTCGATACAGGTTCTTCTATATTTGCGTTAAATTTAAGTTGTTTTCGGTCTCCAGTGAAGTCTTTTTTCGCCACGATCGTAGTTTTCGGTATTTTCATCATAGGTGAATCGATTGCACACGAGATTAGAGTATCCAGTAGAGCTTTCTCTATCTACGTGGAAAACGAAATAGCTTCGTTTAATTTTCGTATTCACGAATAAACTCAGTCATAAATTTTTAGTAAATCTTACCTTAACATTTCCGTATAAATCGATGATCAGTTGTTCTCCACGAATTTCTATCATACCTTTGTATCGATTGTTTTCGATTTCTATGGCTGTGTCAGTACGGAGATCTTTGAGGAACTCTAACGGCGTCTTAATGTTGAATTTCACGAAATGCATTATCGCATTGGTGTCTCTATCATCCGTGTCTCGTCTTTGACGCGTGTAATTTCCATGAAATCCGCTCTGCATGATAATAAATGTTTATTCATTTGTGTTATTTTATCACGCTACTTTATCGGTACCTTGTTTCTCCAATATATGGGAAAAATAAATCTCGTTAATATAAAAAAATATTACTCTCTTATATGTATACATATATACCTCGATCCATGTGTTATTTTTTCTGACGTTTAAGCTCATTTCCATGAAGTAGGTAGGACTATCGATCGCAAAAGCACACAGTGATGTTATCTCTTTGATACTACTGAACGTTAAGTCAACGTGTAGATCATTTTTTACATGAAAGACATCCTTTAGGAAGAAATTGTCGTCCAAGATAATTTTTCCGGGTGGTAAGTTTATCGTGCTTAGAATCTTGTATGTGTTGCCTTCGCTATCGATGTCCACCTCACCTGATATATCCTCTATTAACACAGGCCATATCTATAAATTAAAAAATACATAATCTAATTCAGAGATATATTAAAAATGTGAATAATCACGCTTACAAATTTCAATTCTCGATATTAAGTTAATCCTTACGTCATCTATAAATATTCGTTTTCACATTTTAAGTCGTTAATCGCTACAAATTAATTCTCTAATTCAGACATTTCTACGATTAAGTTTTTGGGTGCCGATTATTCGAGTTACCTCTAATTCTCCTCGCCAGAAGAAATAATCTTCGTTGTCTTCCTCCTCCTCTTCTTCCTCCTGCGACTCATCAGACTCAGAATGGTCTGTCGTATGCACTATAATACCTTTCTTCAGCGGAATTTTAATGGGCGGGGGTTTCGGCCCTCCCTTGACCTTTACACCGAATTTAATGTCTGCTAGCTTCACTGAGAACTCCGTGTTCACGTCCAGCACGTCATTAGGTTCCGTGTGCACCACGACCAGCTTGGCGATCACGCCGCACTCTTGCAGACCCTCGAGCGGCGTGAGCACTATGTAACTATAATCAAAGTCGGTGACATTGTTATAACGCCAAGTCCCAAGGAAGCCTGCCGTGATGTTGTTATAGCCGAGTCGGAAGTCTGCTTCACGTGAATTCAGCTTAGCCACTGCGAAGGCCTTCTGCAGGACGTCGATCGGCGTAGCCACCATGAATTTCACATTAAAGTCATAAACGGACGTGAAGAGCTGGAACAGAGCCTCGACGCCGAGCGGACCGTTCGGGGTGACTATCATCGCTACCACGTGATGGTTGCTTTCCGATAGCCCGAATCTGCCTCGCACGAAGGCGAACTTCTCCAACGGTGTCGTGACGTTGAATTCCACCTTGGATTCCTTCCAGCGCACGAGATCGCCGATTAGGCGGCCGGTGTACTTGCGTTTGTCCAAGTCAAGATTGGTTGCGCCAAGAAACATCCAGCTGGACATGATGCGCAGTTGACACTTGAACTCGCTTTTGAGATAGTTTGCGAAAGGCGTGTAGAGGTGTAGGTTGCCGGTCAAGTTGAACACGTCGTCCGATTGCTTGTCCAGATGCCAAATACTGCGCGCGTCGATCGTCTTGTCGGGATTGTACTTAATGAGCACGTAACTGTCCACCGTTTCTGAACGCAGAATTTTGTGCGTTACGTTCACGGTCACCCATGTAAAAGAGTGAACGGTACTGGCCAAACCGCAGTTTGCCACCCATTCTTTCAGATCGTCATGGTTACTTGTGCTCCCGTAGAACTCCCCCGTCACATGCTGAGAGTCTTTCCAGTAAGCGCTACTGCTGGCTGAAATTCTGTCTGGCCATTGTACGTATCTGTGGACAAAAATAGAATTTAAATGTTGCAGTTGAAACTAAAGATACTTTGATCATTATAATAGCGCTTCAGAGAAATCAAGTTATCGAATTAATGCCTACTCACTTTGCGTTCAAGGCTGTCTTTTTCCACTGTTCGAAAGGAGTTAGCAGCTGGGATTCCAACTTCATAGACGTAATTTCCGATTCTATATTGTAGTCTACGTTGATCGACGCCTTGATCTGTTTCTCTGGATCCCAGTCTAGAATGACGTCCAGTAGGTAGCTATGCGGGCTGCGTATCACCAAATTACACGATCCGGTTACGAGCCGACCAGGATAGGTCAACATTACTATAACGCTGCGTTGGACCCCGGATAAATCGTCTACCAGGTAAACCCTGTTTAATTGTAACATTGTTCCAACTTTCAACGCGGGATCCCTGTTAGCGTCCCACTTGACTTCTGCTGCGTACTCCTGCCGATCTTTCTCGTTGATGCCGGTCAAAGTTAAGTGCACGTCTCGCCATTTGTCCATGTGCAGTTCTAGTCGGATTTCCCGTGTAGTGTCGACGTTCGTCGTCATTGAGTATACATTGCCCCGATATCTAGCTTCGACGTAGGACATCAGACTGGTCTCCGATAGCACTGTATGATTCAACATGAAAGCATACTTGTCGAAGTCCGGCTGCTCGGCGTACAAAATGATTTTGAGATCGCTGTGGTCCTGATACAGGTGACAGTTGAGCAGGATCAGATTAGCGAAGCTCGGCGATTTGAGGACCATCTTGAGATGGTGGTTCATCACGGCAGCGACCGACCGGTCGGAATAAGCGCCACGCGCGGTGATGTTGTGGCCGCTAAACCAAGTGCCGGAGAAATCCAGCTCGTACTCGTGTCGGGATCGCTCGCTGATGCGCACGTTCATCAACATTGAATTATAATGGGGGATCGTCAGGTTCGTGTGGCCTTCTATAGAGAATAGTTTACCACGCGGCATGATGAAACTGACGAGTAGATTGATTTCTTTGCCTGCAAAGAGAAAATCGTGCGTCCGATTCAGTGTTCTTCGATTCAAATAAACACATTGCGTTATCTTTAATTGTGTCTTTTTCTACTAAGAACTACGAACTTTACTTCTTACCTGGTGCGTATCCTATGATAAAACTGGTCTTTGACTCGGTACCGAGTCTGTAGTGATTGACTCCTACTTTGATATCTATGTTCTTCGTAGATTTCGTGACGGCTATCAGTGCGTTCACCTTTGTACCCTCGTCCTGGAAGTACATTTTCAAGTAGGAGACGATAAACTTCGCCTTAAGCTTGTCGTAATCGTTTTTGAGATTCGGTTTGAGATTCATCTCCGCTTGCAACTCTAAATGGCCAAGTGCTTGCTGGTACGAGGCGTTCATCATGGTATTGAGTTGCGGATAAGCGGTAGCAGTAATGCTCATTTCGACCGCTTTGTGCGCGAGCGTTTTCGAAGAGCGATTCAAGAGTTTGCCTTGTACGGTCAAGTATTCCTTCTTCGGCATTCGCTGCAGCTGATACTCCAACTTCAAATCCCAGGTTACACTGATATTTCGCGTGAGGATGTAGCCGGACAGATTACTCCAGACTCGCTTGGTTTGAAAAATCAGGTTTACGTCAATCTGAGAGGCGTTGTTTTTCTGTACGTCTCTGACAGAACCTGAAATGGCAGCAACACGTTCGCTGTTGATAGTTAAATAAACTCTGGGATCATAGGCATAGCCGTTATTCAGTTTTGTTCTCGTATATCCCAAACTGGCGTCCAAGTGTTTTGTGCCATTGATATCGAAACCGACGTCTAGAAAAGTCTCATCTTCAGAATTCTTATATGTGCCTTTAGCGACCAAAGAATTTCCAGTCGAATGCAGTAGAACGCTAACGTTATTATTTATTATGTCAAAAGTGACGGTAGCGCTCAATTTTCTGTTCACTTGTGAACCAGGTGTGTCGAACATCAGCCTGAATATGCTGTGTTTCTCGGTTTTATTCCAACTATACTCAAAAACGTAGTTCTTTGCCGTTGGATCCGCTTTGTTCAACGAAACTTTGAAGAGCGTGAGTCCGGTTAAGATAAAGTAGGGCGCCTGAGGATTCTTCGTCACGTTGGAGAATTGATAGTCAGTACACATCTTTAAGCCTATCAGTCTATCCAACGCGGTCCAGGTGCAGGTAGTATTGCTAATAATGTTCTGAAGCATAGTCGTGGGGTATCGTAATTTCTTTTGATTCTGACCAGCTACCAACACACCCAACGGCTTCTCCTCGATTTCGGCGCCGTTACCTTTGATCAGAGCAACGTCCGAGAGTATCGAAAGCAACTCTATCTTGCGACTCGGCAAACCCAGACTCACGCGCACCAAACGAGTGCCGTTCAAATTTAGATGAATCTGCACAGCACCGGAGGAATAGAGATTTGTTCGCAGCCTAAGTCCAGCGGATTTGTAGAAAGCGTCTACCGTCATTGTTCCCACTGTATCGACGCTTACACTGGAAGCGATATTGCCAGTGAGTTCGAACTCGGAGAGGAGACGATCATCCTTCATTGTTTTCGAGATCTTGAGATTGCAAGCCGCGGAACCGGCGACGTCCAAACGAATCGGCAGACCAGATCCTGTCGGCACGACGAACGAGGAATCCAGAAACATCGTGGTCCTTTCGTAGAGGATTTCTCGCATAGCTAAGAATTCCTTTAATTTCTGCCATGGATTGAAATGCGCGAGCGCGGTTTTCACTTGCTCGTCGCCGTCGAGCATCGTAAACTTCAACTCATTGCCGAATATCTATTAGACAGAACGGAGTATATTATTATGATTAAGCAATAAACGCGTATATAAGAAAAATTATATCTTCAGTCTGTAGATTATCGAAATCCACGTTATAAGATAGTTCCATTCTGCGATACGTTTATGTCTTATTACCGAGTGGATATCTTTTTTCTGTTAGCAATAGAATTAAGACTTCTGACTACTTGTCGCGGCTATCTTGACTTATGACGTCAGAAGAGGAAATGCATGCGCAAAATTTCTTCAAAGTATGTCGAAATAAAAAGATATATTAAAAAAATTACACTTGCAATCGATTAACCATTCTCTAAAATACTCCGTACATTTTTCTGTTGGTCTAACGATCAACAAATGACAGTAAAATTAACGTGACAAAATAATAAGTAAATATAAGTTACAAAAGAAAATCGCATTCATGTTAAGTTTACGGTTTGCTTGTTAAAATAAAATGAAAATATTCGGAGTATTTTAGAGGTGTAGTTAATAGATTGTCATTTTTTGGATATATCTTTTTATTTCGACGTATTTTGAAGGAATTTTGGGCATGCATTCGTTTCTGATATCATCAATCAAAAATTTCGCGAAGCGTAGTCAGAAGTCTTAAGTTTAGATATTTTACGTAATTAATGATCATATTTTTACTTGATTTGTTTCTCCGTTACCTTATAGCCGAAGCTGACTTTCGGATGTTCGAAATTGTTATCGATGACGTTAGGTAGCTGTTTCACGCCGTGCCAGTAATTTTCGCTCTCCGGCGCTGATCGGAAATGTCTGAGGAAGTCTCGAATATAACTGGAGATCTTCTCGTTACTGTAAATGCCATCCGGACCGAAGAGATTCTCCGCATAAAACTCGAGACCTTCCATTCGCGCCGTGATTTCAAACAGATTCACAGACTGACCGAAGACATCGGTGGTTACATTGAACATAAGCGACCGCGGCATGTACGATTTCGGCGAGAAGATCAAATTCGTCTGATAATTCGCACCGATATTATATTCCTCGGAGAAGAAAGAGCCGTCGTAATTACGCGAGAACTTTCTGATATCGTTGTTGAACTTTTTACTGAAATCCCTGTCTGTTAGCAGACTTTGAATCTCAATTTTAGTAGGCGAGGATGAACTGAAGAGATTTGTCAAATGGCTCCATACAAAAGTACCGACTGCAAATAATTAGAAGAAAAAATTATTAATCAAAGAAGCGCTGGAAATTTATATATTTTGACTGAGACTAGTCTAGAAGCTAAAAGCAAACACGATATGAATCAAGATTCTTTTAAATGAATTTCAATCAGAGTTATTAAAGTAGATTTGAAACATAAATTTTTCAAAATTTAATTCTTTCTTAATTCTTCTATATTATAAACAAATTATTTCAAAATTTAATTCTTTCTTAATTCTTCTATATTATAAACTCTAGTATATTAAAACGTTATAAAAATATGGTCGATATAATGAATGTTCGAATAATAAATATGATTCGATTGATATAATTAATTTCTTAAAAGTAATAATGTACGAACCTTGATTGACTTCCTCTACCTTGAGAGCATGCTTGATGGTCTTGATGACGTTATAATCGGGACAACGCATCACCTGCAAGTAAGAGGCAATACGAATTTCCGTGTCCAGCGTTATGTTGCGGTAATAGTCGAGGAAGAATTCATCTCGAGTCTCCTCACAGGATGGTAGTCTGCGATGAGCGTCGATAGCAGCGACGCGAATTTCTATCGGTAAAAATCCACCGGTGTCATCTATACATTTCTTCAGCTGCAGTCGCAGGCTTTTTGTTTCGAGTCCCATATTGCCGGTCGCTTTTAAAGCTTCCAGCGTTTCTTTTGTCTCGAGAAGAGAATGAACTCGAGGTGTACAACCCTGGGAAATTTTCTCCTCAAGATGAGACAAAAGTGCGCTCACTTGCTCCAGTTCGATACAGTCAGCGTTATTTCTGCAGTACGTATGAATGATGGTGGAGTAGCTGAGGATGAACTGAGCATGAGGGATTTGATGCTGGAAGTTCAGGAACTGCGACAGGGTTTTAATGGTTTCGCGATCTGGTTGCGGGAGTAGAGCGAACGTGATGATCCAATCGTCGATAGTCGCTTGATTGACGTATTTCTTCATTATCAGATCTCTCATTACGTTCACCGCGGCGTTGCTGTTCAGATACGGCAATGCCGCGAGGATGTGATTCCTGATGAATAAATAAGAAAAGATCAACGAACACAACGAACATACGAAGATTTCAATTACTGAAAATTACAAATCGATCGCGTGAAAAACTAATGAAATGTTTGCCAAATTTTAATAGAAATTAAAGAGAGAAATTTTTATCGATATTTCTCTCTCCTGTTTGACGATACATTATACATATTATTATCATTGATAATAAAATTATAATATGACAAATAATTATTGAATAAGGCGCGGCAGCTACATACTTTCCACCCCTGCAGATGCTATTGGCTCTTGTAAACAGCTGCAACAACGAGGGATAATTCAGAAAGCGAGCCGAATGAACGAAATTCGTAAACGTCTCGGAGAATCTCTGTTGCAGCTCATCGGTATTCGTCGCGAGTCTGCACATAGTCTTCAATAGATCCCGCGAGGTCCGCAGCTCGCCATGCATGGTCTTCAACGTCTTTGTATGATCGTACAGCAACGTGGTTCTCTTGATATGAGGAGTGCCTCCGATGAGATTATCTTCATCTTTATCGTCATCGTCACGATTCTCGTACTCGTCGAACTCATGAAGAAAACTTGTATCCGTCGTCTCCTGGATTAACTGGAGCGTCATTTTCGTCTCGGTTTTGGCACCGGCTTTGTGGCCGTTCGAAAGCGGCTGCATCTGCCGCACCTCTTCGCAGACCACTCTCGCGTACACATTGTGATCGATAGTAATGTCGCACTCGCTGTGAGACTTCAGCAATCCGTTCTGACCCTGTTGCCGTCGCGGGCTTCTGTAAGGATTCGATTGCACGACGGAGAAGTATTTGGATCCGTATTGGCAGTCGGCTAAGTTCTTGCTTTTCTTCACGATCAGACTGGTCCGCAACGCCTCGTACAAGTGATACTTCGTATCACAGATGCCGTACACATCCGTCTCTTCCACTTGGTGGTCCACATCGAAGCGCTTCATGTTGTTCTGCAGCATCGACAACACACCGCGCTTCAAGTTTAATGCCCAGACCGGCTCGTGAGGGTCCGGGCACAGTTCATGAATCACGCCATCGTCAAAGGCGAACCTAAGCGCGAAACGCTCAAGGCTGGCCTTGAATTCAGACCCTGCGCGATCAGGAAATTCGGCGTGGTATGTGCTGCGATCGTGGCTGACGCTGGCGTTCAGGATCCTCAGCGTGCCCTCGCAAAGGCTGGTGAAGTACACTAATAGAGTGGCATCGATGTATAGGGCAGAATCAGTTTTAGAATGAAAGGGCAATGGTCGATAGCCCAGATTCGTGTTCACGTCCACGGAGTATGCGTACAAATAATTTACGCCTTCTAGATACTTGAACTTCCGCTCCAGCGGCACTGGAAGAGGGAAAAAATTTCATAGATGTATGATAAAATTTATAGACGTAAAATATTGTGAAACGTATATTGTTTACAGTACTATTATATCAATGTGTATGCGTCAATGCGTAATCGTGTGTCATAAAGAAATATCGATTTCAAAGAAATCATATAAAGTAATCTAATTTTAATACATCACACGCTGAATCGCAAATCGTTAGATTCGCAAATAATATGTTTTTTATCGTATTCCGTTATTCATATTTACGTAAGTCTGCGTTCGAAGTTCAAATATTTGCATTTAAAAAAGAAAAGTCGAGATTCTTCACTTCGATAAGACGCACGAGTACTACGACTTAGAGTCGTAATTATTCCTGTTCGAGCGTTATAAAAGCAAATATATAATTCCATATATATAATTAAAACGAATTATTATTATTTTAAAATGTTCTCGATGCATGCAACAAATAACGCAATGAAAAAGATACTTTTTTTTATAAGGTAGTTTTCCTTTGAAATTAATTGTGCTTATTAAAAACAAATTTAAGACTGTGCCGTTAAAAAGTACGATGTTAAGGATTCTTGTAAAGAATATGTCGATTTAACAATATAATTCTTGCTCTTTCAGCACGAGTCATTTTATTCTTTCTTTCCAAGGTTGTGACGTAGTATCGTTGGAACATATGCGTGTGGGGTGATACGAAAACAATACCGACGAAATCCCAGGAAATGTAACCTAAGCCGAAAGCGGACTCCGAAATGTGACAAGCGTTAGCTAAAACTTATCTGTAGGTATAAGTCCCAACACTTACATTTGCATTTTGTTCGACCACACAACGTACTGTCCTTCGTAATTTCTGTGAAACAAAGATAAAAAAAATATCGTAAAATTGATGTGAAACATGTTCAATGTATTAAAATATTTAGAAGAAATTTCTGGATAATTCAAATTAAATAACGAATTTATCAAAGTAAATGTCAATAATCTCAGATAGCACAAAATCTTCAGAGAATATTCTGAAACGTTCTTAGGATGAATGTTCTTAGAACATCTTTAAAACATCTTTTGAAGATTTGTGCTGTATGGGATATCAATAAAAGAAATAAAAATAAATTTGTATAATATAATTTTAAACACCAAACTTGCTTATTTATATATATTTTATTAATGTACTCTTGAATGTTAATGTACATTTGTAGACTATTAATTTGCGATATTATATTTTTAATTACTTTTTTAAGATACAATGTATTATTTAATACAAACAATATATTACATTTATACTATAATCTGCGATCATTTTATCATACGTAAACTTCATACTACGTAATCGTAGTAGATCGTAGCTGACGTTATTCTCAACAATGTCAATCGATACAACCACGGGCTAATTTTTATTATAATCCGAAAGATTTTACTATAAATCGTGAAATAAATATTATCAAATATAATATATACGTAAAAATCATATATAATGTAAAAGAACGATTATCTATTGTTTGAGCGCGATGAAAGTGCTTTTCTATTTTTCAAGACTGATGGCAATTAGAAGATTCAACTATGTCCTTTTTCATATACGCATCTGCATGTTCACGCCGAAAATCTCAGCGATGCATTCTGTTACAATGCATCGTATTTGATAATAATAACATATAAATTAATGAGACACCGGACGCTGCAATAACTACCGGAAATTATCGATAATTACCTCCTAGCACGGCAGTGAGCGTCGTGCACACAAGCGCAAGAAACAATATCGCCCTCATGCTCATCTTTGTGCTCCAAGGATCTCTCTCGAGTCCTGCCACTTTTGGGATCTCCCGGATCAATTCCACGATCGACGCGTCTTTATCACCGCACTGCTCATCCCTCGACGTTCATCAAGCCGTCGGGAATTTTCGATTCACTGCTTCACCGATTTATAAAAACCTATCAACATGATAGACAATGGTAATCAATTAGCACTGATTGACGGATATTCACAAAAAATGAAACTTTCGCGACAAATTATGTGTGTGTGTGTGTGTGTGTGTGTGTGTGTGTGTACTGTGTGTGTGTATAATTAATATTACTACAATTCTATTCTTCTTAATCGATGACAAGAAATTTCTTCAACTTCTCTTTTCACTTTTGCCACACTCTCGAGCTACGTTGAGTCTATTTGCAGTTTTACGGAGATTTATATCGCACGAATCTTATGAAGATCTACAGAGAGATTCGTTGTTACTCACGACCGAACGCTACCTTTCACGAGTTGAAAATATCCGCGATAACCACCCGGGCGTCGGAGATAAACCGGGGTGCGGATCGGCGGCTCGCTTGATTGGAGGCGAAGAGAGAGTGTGTGGCGTCAACTAAATAAGTGCTTCCGTTCGGCCTGTCAACCGACGAATGGCCGAACGGCGAGGGAAGAGATCGGTGCTAAAGGTCTCCCGATGAGTCTTTGTGTTTGCGCGCGGTCAGAGGTCCCTTCGTTTGATAAGATAACATCCAACTCTGTTAGCTGAAATCTTATCCTTCCTAAATAACCGTTCTCGTGTCGAAGAAAGCAATGAGATGAGTCTCATGGAATCATTTTCGGACTGTTTCACGACATTCTGTTGTAGAGTAGGGAGAAAGTATCTTTTTATCCGGACTAGAGTTACCTCTTTATTTAAAATTAGTAGAGTAGTCTGAATTAGTCGCGGTTGTATCGATCGACATTGTTCAGAATAACGTCAACTACGATCGTCACGTATAACGAGATAAATTGAGCGCAGATTATTCGGCTACTCTTGCAAAAAAAAGTTGGAAAAGTTTTTTAACCGTTGATCTATATTTGAATTGAAGCAAGCTTATGGAATTGTTTAAGTAATTTTACAATTCGGATTAACCGATTTGTCGCACGTTGAGATATTTTATAATTATATATTAATGCTTGCATATTATGTATATATAATATTAATAAAATTCACACATTTCTCATGTACACATAATACAAAGTGAGAAAATGTAATAAAAGTAAGAAAATTCAAGCCGTAAAAGAGTAATAAAAAAAAAAAATGAAAAATTAAACTCCCTTAACTTTTAGCATTGATATTTAATTGATCACACGATACATCAACTCGCGCAACATGTGGTCTATTTAACTCTTATTCTAGTAAGCGGGATTAAAGTCCGAAGTCACTTGTTTTGTATATCAAACAAAATTTATACTTTTTTGTTATATCTACAATAGTGAATACGAATTTCATTCGTATTCAATATTATTTTGATGAAAATCAAAAGACTGTAGTACTTGATGTACTTTAAACATTTTCAAAAAATATCTTTACTCTGGCAATTTTACCTGACTGCGTTAAAAATACAACTAATCCGCATAAAGATTAAGTTGACATTACAGAAAGAAAAAGTTTATATTATATATTTGAGACATGCTGGACAATTTTTATTACTCGTTAACAGTAGAGTGTCTAGGAAATATAATCAGTGATTATATTTTCAAAATGAAAAAGCCAGAATAAAAACCCGGTTCCATTTGAAAACAAAAAAGGAATACACACACAACAAGAAAACCGTGAATGATTCAGCTGTTGTGTGAGTCAGCCGTTTGAATATCGGACATACGTTGTTGAGGTCACACGTACGGTTCTTTTATTGTGTGTGCGCATCCTTTCTACTTGTTTATGGACAGAAGTAATTAGTGTGACAAGAATACAAAGGCTGCGTTTTGATATTCATTGTTAGTGTATTAAAAATCTATAATATACATAACATGAGCCATAGATTTTCAACAAATATTCTATTAGCAATGAACACAGGAGCGCATTCAAAATACATTAGCGATACAATCGATATCTCGAAGCGCGACGACTAATTGCAACGTTTTACCGTAGATGGCTCTTATTGTCATCGAGAGATCCGTCAGTTTTGTTATGGCGGGCGCGTCATGTCGTTTCTATTTACGATTTCCTGAATAAAATATCGTGCGGATGTGTGCCGTCGGCACTCATTTTGTGTAATAGGACGACCGGTAGCGCGAGTGATAAGTGCCCATCGACGTTCGTCAAACGATCCAGCGCGGCATGAAGCCCCGGATCATGCCGGCGCCCTCGACAGGCTTCGGTGAGCAGATTGAGGTTAGGTTTTTGAATTTCACTGCATGTTGCGCCACCCTCCTGTTGCCATATGACGCGCCACCAGCCAAACAAATCTCCCCTTTCCATTTCAGGAATACAAAGTGTTGAATTTGCTGGGTAAGGGAGGCTACGGCTGCGTCTACCGGGCGAAATGTCTCCGCAGCAACACGGATGTCGCGATCAAAATGGTAACACATTTTTTTTCTATGTTTAATTAATCGAGCATTTCTCGCTGCAATGAGGATGCTACAACTGCATCTGGTTACATTTGGGTCATTATGGGCCTGTGTATCGCCTTTAGTGACTTAAATTTTTTCAAACGATTGCAGCTTGAAACACGATTACAATCTTATTTATTAGGCAAGATTTGAGAGATATTGGATAAACAACATTTAGGCCAATATCAATTCTTGAGGTTGTAATATTTAGAGAGTTTTTGCTATTTTTGTTATTTTTGCTTGAATATGTAATCAGCAAGTTAGATTTATTTTAATTATATTGTACCATTGCTTCATTCTATAATCATTTCTAATGTTAATAAACAAGTAATATAGCTTGCACGAAATAAAATCTATTCAAAAACCACTTATACAGATAATATATGAGAACCAAGTTAATTATTGAAACAAAATAGATGGTTCATGTCTAGTTTATCTTTTTATCTTTATAGATCGACAAGAAGATGATGCAAGCTGCTGGGATGGTGGGTAGAGTAAATCAAGAAGTAAATATTCACTGGCGCTTAAAACATCCATCTATATTGGAATTATACACATGTTTCGAAGATGCAAACTATGTATACTTAGTCTTAGAATTGTGTCATAATGGGGAACTCCAACACTTCCTCAAAGCTCAAGGCTCCAAGCCTTTACCTGAAGAACATGGTATGTAAATAATTTACATATATAAATTATAGTATATCATAAATATCTAGTATTATATCTTATTACAATAAAATAAATTGTATTGTTTTTAGCTGCTCGCATAATCAGACAAGTTGTACAAGGCTTGCTTTACCTACACTCTCACCAGATACTTCACAGAGATATGTCATTAGCTAATTTACTTTTGACTAGAGATATGCAAGTGGTATGTAGAATATGTATGAAATAAGATAAATTATACAGACAATTTCAAATATATTGAAAGAGAGAAAGTCTTCTTAAAAAAAAGAAATTTTTATTTGAAAAATTCGATTATATAAAGATGTTGGGATAAACATATTTTTCACTTTTTATGCTTACAGAAAATCGCGGATTTCGGATTAGCTACTCAACTGAATACACCGGATGAAAAGCACTTGACTATGTGTGGCACGCCAAACTACATTTCACCCGAAGTAAGTATTGTTTGCGAAAATCGCTTGAGTGCAAAATTGCAAAGATTGCATGACATTTGGAATATTTCCAGGTTGCGACAAGATCTTCGCACGGGCCGGAAGCGGATGTCTGGAGCTTAGGATGTATGTTGTACACTTTGTTGGTAGGCACACCTCCTTTTGACACTGACGCTGTCAAAAGTACTTTAACTCGCGTGGTCATGGCCGATTATGTGATGCCACCTCATTTGTCGGAAAACGCGAAGGATTTGATAGATAAATTACTGAAGAAAAATCCGAAGGACAGGATACGCTTGCGGGATATCACCAAGCACCCATTCATAACTAGTATAGAGAAGAATAGACTGCATAGCGTAAGTAATAATATATCAAGCATACTTAAGGGGATGCTGAAGCTGAAAACTTTACCGACAGAGCATTGGTATTTTTCTACAAAGTTTACGTCGTATTGGTTACACAGAATTACAAATGCTTTTACGCAATGAAAATACGTGCAAAGATAAATAGGAGCATTGCTCGATAAACGAACAAAAAATTTTTAATGTAAAATCTCAAGCTGTCAGCGTAATATTTGTCTAATCCAAAAGTTCTGCAGCTTGTATATACTGAAAGTGTGGATGCTCCAAGTAGAAAAATTGTGAAGAACATTGCTCTACCTTTGCATCTGCATTTGGAAATTTAAAAATATCGAAAAAGTTTGCAAAAAGATTTTTACACATAGTGTAGAAATCTATACTATATATAGTTAGGTTTTCCGTTGAATATGATAAAACAAAGCAATATACATTCATATAAGTTCTGTATATACAAGAAATACGAAAAGGATAGCATGATTATGTTAGTGACGATCGTCTCTGCATTATCGATATTGTTCAAATTCGTCATCAACTCCAGCATCCCCTTAATATTTCGAATATATTTTAAACATACTAGCTATTAACAATGAAGAATATTTTGCCGCGTATTTATATTGCAACCGTGTATATCAAACTGCTGCGTTTTTTAATCGGTGATGACATAATATCAATATTGCTTCAATTTCGTCTATTTCAAATCTTTACATTAAAGTTGGATGCCAGATACGGCAAATCGAACCACGCGAAAGTCGCTCAATCTAAGATTTAAAAAAAGTTGGAATCGAGGAAGTGACCGTGTTGTCTGGTAACTCAATTTTTGTTTATAATTAAAGAAAAGCTGGTTTGTGTTTCAACTTCTATAGAAAAAAAGATTATAAATACGATATTTTATATTTCGCATTAGTGAAGGTCTTACCTTCGAAGACTATAACAAGGCGATGATTGATCGACAGCCTCTCGTTCTTACAACAATAAATATGAGCTCGATTTAAATTTGTCCCAACGGATAACTGTTTCATTCTCGCTGTCGACTCGTAAAATATCTTACGAAGTTGTATGCGCCGGTTTGCGAGCTTATACGTACTTATACTAAACTAAACTTAATATCTACACAAGAAATATGCTTATGATGAAGAAATTAGATAGTAATTATGTCGACGTTACCTTGAAATATTGACAAACAAAGGTGGCGAGTCTCGAAGGAATCAATCAAATTTTAGTACCCGCGAAGCACTTTTGTTCTATTAAACTATTAAATCATAAGCGAGTCACACTCATCGATAAGTATGTCAACATATTAAAGTTTATACATGTAGATGCATTAAAATAAAATTCGCGCACAAAAGTCGTTCTTCTATCTTTAACGCTCATTGATAAGCTCGAGAACGAAATATTTGTAGGATTGCTTGGCTCACAGAAGTCATTCAGGGATCTATCCCTACTCGTGATCTTATTACGTAGTTCTGATTACATAGTCCATTGGCGATCGTTCTAATTTCGCTGATTTTCGGAAATCCTCGCGAAGTCTCGCGAGTTCAAATGTTCCTTCAAGTTCTGATTAGTAGCAGCTTAAGATGCAAACTCATTTTTCTTGTCCTTTGGTCGATCTCTACCAGTTTGTAGAGTCACTAGACCTGTTTTTTATAGCTGCACTGCTGAACTAGTGCAATAAGAAGAAAACGTGAGAAAACGTATATTTGTCTCACTTCAATATATTGCACTAGTTCAGCAGTGCAGTTACAAAGAATAGGCCTACTATTGAGGTCGAGTTGTCTCTTTTTTTTAATACTCTTTCTGTTATTCTGGACTTTGAAATACTAGGCGAATTTTAGTCAACCAAGAGCTCGTAATTTTAATATAACTAAAAAGTAATCGATTCACTTGAAATGCTCTCCCCCGGAAGCCAAATCAACGTTTTGCTTCTCTGTCTTCACGGTAACTCTTCTGCGGTAGTTTTAAGTCGTTTATCCAATATTATTGGGATCATTACCGCAGAAACGCTAAATTATAATTTCGAAAAAGGAATCACCAATACCTTCGTGTATATAAACGGCATACGGACTCACAAAATTATTAATGTGTATTCTGTAGCGAGAGAACACGATATATAAAGTTTTCCGTCTCGGTTACAGTTTATAGTTCTTATGATGAACAATTGTAGATTATCATGTCGCAGTATTTTACTTAATAACGATAAAGAAAATATTATTAAATTAACTATTTGTTTTACTTATTTATTTTTAGGAAAGAGGTGGTATGAGCAAAGATTTCCTGCCTGACGGCATGGTGGATTCTGGAGTCGGGAGAACATTGTCCTCCTATAGTCGACCGAGAATGCGATCTCGATCAGAAGAAAGAATGTCTACGATGATGCAAAACGATAGGATACAAGGTCCTATGGTCAGCGTGAGAAGCGAGGCGTTATCCGAGCCCATTGTGAAAATGCATACGAATTACAGAGCAAAATATGCGAATTATTGCGCGAAGGAAGACTTTTTATCGCAGCATATTCCATTGCCTCGTAAGGTGTTTCCGCAGAACGAACATTACGACGTGCACGACTCTAACAAGCAGAAAGTAGAAAGACACAGGTGGAGGGATAAAAGCGTAGAGAATCATAATTATGAAGCAACTACGGAGGGAGCAAACACAAAATTAAAAGTCCCACCCTTGAATACCAATAGATTGCTACCTACTAGACACAGGTCGAAGAATGCGATTCATACTATTTTAGACAATGGAGAAGTTTGCACCGAGTTGATCAGGCGTAGAAATGGCATGGTACTTAGAATAATAATATAATAGTTCTAATGTGTATAAAAAAATATATTCTATGAAAAAAAAAGTATAACAAGATTAAGAAATGTAATAACGTGCCAAGTATATCTCGTATACAATAATACAAACATTATCGCTAAAAGATAAAATATTGTACAATTTGGATGTTACAGGAAAAAATCCAAGAAGTCGCAAGAATATCAGGTGATGGTTTACGAGTTATCCTCTATAAACTGGATGTATCTCTAGAAGTGGGTTCGCAACCGCCACCGTTGCCTAGCCGAGGTGCCGATAGTATTTATTCGTATGAGAATCTACCGGCATGCCATCATCGAAAGTACATGTATGCTTTTCTTTTCGTGAAATTGGTTCGGGCACAGACTCCCAAGTTGACGTTGTACACTCAGCGCTCCAAGTGCCTGTTCATGGAGAACGGTCCAGAGCCCGACTGTCAAGTACACTTCTACAATGGAGTGAAGGTACGCGTGATCCTTTGATATCGCTAACTTTTACATATATTATTTATATATGTTGTGATAATACATAAAATAATTACGTCAAAGTAGTATAGAATTTTCATGACCGATAATTTTCAAACGATAAATAATGGCAATGCAGTAAAAAAAATTGGACAAATTATTCCTGAAAGTAACAATCTCACAAGGAAGATAATTTTACTTGATTAATCTTTTTTTTTATCTATCTTGATTTTTATACTATAATATATATTTCCTCGTATAATTTAACAATTTTTATTTTATTTTGAGAATTCATGTCGTTGCGTTTTTAATTGTTATATTTGTACAAATATTGTAGATTGTCCGAGAAAATGGCGTCGTAAAAATCATCAAGGGGAACGATACGTTTGTTGAAGGCGAGTTTTCTGCTGATCTAGAAAATTATCACGAGCATTATTCCGAATGTTATCAACATTGCTTGCTATTGGAATCCACTTTGACATCTTTAGAAACGGCTACTGGTCACTCTTGCTTCCCCGTGATTATCGGACGAAAGCCTCTTACGGCCTTAAGTGATGCTCCCTGCTTGCAGGGGAAAGAAAATATCTCACATGGAACAAACAGCACTCCCGTCGTAAGCAATAAAGAATATTTCTAATATAAACTTAAAAATTTTGTTTTCCGACTTTTCAATGTGGAATTTTTTTTTAGCTGCCATCTTTCGAAGCTTCTTGCTCCGTCGTTTCGACGATAACTTCCAGGTCGCGCAAGACGAATTCCATGTATAGTTCAAATAATAATACAAACAAGGTAGCAGTACCAGGTATCGGCTTTGCTACGAAATTTACATCTGGCGACATTAGAATCGATTATAAGGATGGATCCGCTTTAATTGTAAGTCATTATGCAAAAGTAATTCATTAATCATCTCTAATTATCTATCATTATAAATATAGTTACTATATAGTTTACCATTCTATACTATATAGTTTATTATTCAATTTATTCTTAACAACTTATTAATAATAAGTTATTAGTTGATAATTCTATATTACGTTGTACTCTACTAACTAATTGCGGCTTGTTGCAGGTAAGTCCACAGAATCATAGCGGAGACATTATGTATGAGAGCAATAACGGTGATGTTATGCGATACAATAAACACTACCAGCAAAATTTAGAAGTACCGCATTCAGTACACGAGAAACTCCTTCAATTGCCGACGGTCATCAAATATCTTATTCAACCAAGGCACAAATGCATTCGGTAGCTCAAAATATCTAATATTTTATATAGTACAACTGAGAAATCGCATTCATCTGTATGGACCGTAATCTTATTATAGATTTGTAAATTAGTTTATACAAACTTAAGAACATACTCTTTTAGTGGATTTACTAAGTATACAATAATAAAAAGTCGCTAATTATATTCTTATCTTCGTTGTTCTTGTGATTTAAACTATAATCATTGTATGTAAAAAGATATTTTTACACTTTAGCATATGTAAATATTCAATACTAGAGACAAGCATAAGAAGGAAGATAAGAAAAAAAATGAGTTGAGCCATTTTAATTAAGAGAGGTAATGTTTTTGTTAAGGAAGAGAAAAATAAAAAATAATATAATATAATAATTTGTCTTTTTAGAAAAAGAAATTGTTGATAATAATTCTTATACAAATAAGAACATTATGCACAAAAGAAAATTTTATGATAGCACAAAATTCGTTATCTCTCTCATTAAAAGCAAAATTATATTGAAAAAAAAGAAAATATATTATTTTATATCTTAAAATTATTTTTTTTACTTTGTAGAATGACTATGAGAAACATTCTCAATCAAATTAAACACACACACACACACACAATGAAATATCTACAGTAATATATATTTTAAATTAATATGAAAAAATAAATAATACTATAATATTAATTATTATTAACGTACACAGAGCGAAAATATAATTCTATTAATATTATATTGTATTTATTCGATATCTAACATATATTTGTAACAATTTCAATTTTCATGAAAATGTTACAATAGATTACTTATTAGAGCTATACTTTCTGTATTTTTCTATAATTTTTATATCTTTTCTTTCGGATATAAAATTTAAATTATATATTATGATCTCTCTCTTTTACATATAGAAAGTACAGCTGAAAGAAGTGATGAAGATAAAAAGGTTCTGTGATGTACAAAGTAAGGACATAGATGTTCCAATTAAAGTGTAAATACAATTAGAAGTGCGCGCGTAAATACATGTAATAATTTATATATTTCGCTAAGAACAATGTAAATTATACAAGAAGATTATGTTTTTCGTTCGTTTCTGAATGGCTCAGAAAATTTGAAGAGAAAGACGAATTTTGTTCTTTGGCTTCAACTGAGCCATCAGCGGACTGCAAACACATTTCTTCGTCTGTTCACTATAACTCTGTCAAATCGGGGTCACAGCCGGTCATTATCATTCCTATCGACCCCGGAACATCGTTCCATTGAAGGGAACTACGTTTCCAATGAGCGTCCGCTACGACGCGCCCTACAATCCCTCGCGAGGGCAACGATCCCATTCACCCAGTCACAACGCGCTTATGTGCGCCATATTGAACTGTTGTTCCTCGTGACCGTTCCCTACAGAAGTCAACTGTCCTTCATAATCTCCAAGATCACTGTCTCTCTCGACAGACGCGCGCGATAAAATCGATAGGATCGTCATTCGGGAGAGATTATCCGTGGAGTCGGAAGCTGTGCTCTCACAGGTGGTTGATTAGACTGTCGGACTATTATCTCGGGGTGCTCTGACAGATAGTAAACAAGCGAGTGACGTGTCGCGTATTGTATCTTCCAAGGAAAAATTACGATATTGTAAGTTATAGAAGATATCCCAAGTTCGAGTATATTGAATTCAGCATATTTGTAAATTGTTTTTCCTCTTCTGTGTTCAGTGATCGAGAGTGCGAGTGTATAATATGTCCTTCGCCGTTATGGTTGAGCGACGTGCAATTGCAGTGCGTTAATTAACGACGCCTTCCCATATTGTAATAGCGAAATCCACGACGCGAACGGGCGCTGTCCATTGTTGCTTCGGGAGCGTTCCTAACCTCAATACGAGAGACGCGCTACAAATATGGGTAAGTCTATTGTGGTAATTTCTTAAATACTTCGTGCGATTCTTTTGTTCTTCTTGTTATTCATTGCGTGATATCCATGAATTAATGCTGAATCGTTGTTAACGAGCAAATGGTTGTTAAAAATTATATGATTGACTGCGTGCTCCCATGTTCATAGAATCGTAAACATTGATGAAAAATAAACAATGTTTTAGTTCATTGATAAATTTTCTGTATATAGAGTCGAAAAGTAACAAGAGATTAGTCAAAGCTAATGTTAATAGTCCGTAAAAAGACAGGAAGTATTAAAATTGCTCAACCGAGAGTAATTGCTTAATTGGTGCAATCATCCTTTGTTAAGTTGATTTAACTCTTTATTGTTCCTAATTTAATTATCAGTTTCAATATAATGTAAGAATTATAATTTGTTTAATCGCGCTTGTAAAAATTCGTTTAGATTTTTCTTTTCGTATGTTATTTGACAAAAAATTTTCTGTCAAAACGATAGAATAATCGATATCGATAATAATAAATGTCACGCTCTAATTATTTTTGCTGAAGACGCTAGTACGACACGTTTACGTTGTCGAGTTTGTGAATGAACTGAAATCGCGTATACACTGGCGCCGTACGGTTGACGTTATCTGTCAAGCCTATAGATATAGATAAGTGATTAGTCATCATCATCATTTGCCGATTTAGTCAGTCAAAACGCCCATATCTTACCATTCTTTATTCTTTATTTGTACTTTTATTATTCAATTGTTCTGTATAATTTGTGTAATTGTACTAAAATGGTAAGACTACGTGAGTTACGTGCCAAGGAAAGTTTACCTTTGCATAATCAATTTGCAAGTAATATCAGTATAGACAGATTTTCTGAACATAGCCTCCATGGTCTTGATATGGAGGAACGAACATGTAGTAAGTGTTTCTGTAAATACTATTAAAATATGGAAATAAATAATATAAGTGTAAAATTTTGTATCATAACAAATACAGCCACAGATGAATTGCTATGATTCATATATAACTATTTTCACTTATTTACTAATGAATAATTTATTGCAATAATGTTTGTTATTCATATGCTTATATTAACATAAGTTACATAATTTATTTAGTTACATGTATTGTGCACTTATACAGTATTGTAGTTTTACTATAATTGAAATAACATGTAACATGTTGTACTTGATTCTTTTTTAGGGAACATATGCAATGATTGTATGGCCAGAGTACCGTACGCGACTCTCATAGCAACCATAATGTGTTGTTTGGGAGTTGGAATCTTTTGCGGTACCATGTACAGAGGTGCTACATTATGTGCTCTCATGATGGATCAGGTAAGTCATGTATTTGTTTATTGCACTATTCTTCCAGAACATATTCAAAAGTTTTCATGAATCTAATGCTACAAAATGAATTAAGGTGTTCCATTTACATCTTGGGTGGCTGGAAGCAATGCAACTGGTGTTTGCTTCAATTGGAGCTTGTATGGCAGCTTTGGGATTTATGATTTTGTGCGTTGGGTGTCTTGCAACTGGTGCTACGAGACACAAAGTTTATCGTGCATGGAGATCCAGAGTAGGTGGGCGTATCTCTTGTGCTGTCGTAAGTATTTAAAGCAAAATTCTTAATTATATGCCAGTAATATAATTTTAATTATATGCCTGGAAGTTATTCTAATAATATATTGTGATATATTTTTATTTTCCAGTTTATGACTATCATTTATATTCTGCAATTAGCTTGGCTTCTGATATTTGCATTCTTGATTATTACTACGCTGATATTTACCATATTCTGGGGTCTATGCAGCAATCCGCGTGTCCAGAATCTTGAAGAGTGCATCGATTTTACTCAATTTAGTAAGTTTTTACACATGCTAGAACTAGAAAATCTCTCTTAAACATAAAATGTGTTTCTTTTCCATTTCAAAGCTGTAAAGTATAGCTACTTTTTTATTTTATTTCTGATCTCATACTCAAAACTGATAAAAATCTAAAAATTCGATAACAATCACGATTTTATATAAATTCTATTTTCAGGCTTTCTGTTTCCGAATAACACTCGAGTGCAGGACATGCAAATATGCGGAGCGCAAGAAGTCAAGTTGTTTTGCAAGGATTTCGTAGAAAAAGCCGAGGTGATGTTCATCCTGGCGACAGTGGCGACCATGCTAGTGATCTTGAGCTTGATACACTATCTCATGTGCCTGTCTGCCAATTATGCGCACATACGTGATCACGAGAAGTTCCAGGAACTGCAGGAGCTGCAATACTTACAAGATGCAGCTGATCCAGATTCACCTCAGCCGGGAATGGGCACCCTAGGCTCTCATCGCGGCAAAGACAGGTTCTAGGATACAGCCCGCGAGATCTATGCCATGAACCCTTTGTAAGGAGCCTCTTGTTCCTCTCCGTCGTCTTCCGGGACACACGGGGAATCCTTACGCCCGATTGGAAATCTCTCTTCCAGATGGTACTTCTTTTCTCTATATACCTAAATTCGGTATTCCTCTCGTCGGTCTATTGTACCGCGGTAGTTTACTCGATCATGGAGGATCTTGCGGGAGCACTCTATGCCGTCCATTTTGACTGTCGTCGTATAAGAATTACTTCATCTTACTCAAAGCTGAAGAGAAATGTTTGTTAGATTTGTCGTACGTAAGATTTTCGTCTTGAAGGATAAATCAGGTCGATTGTTCACGCAATTTTTCCTGAGAGAGTGAAAGTTTTACGTATACGACAATATTTCGTTAATTCGTATACAATATGTAATATTAGGGAAAACTATAGGTACTTTGAGTCCGACAATGTGCGAAATTATAACGCACAGATTTTTGTGTGTGTATAGCCACTTTATCTCATTTCGGTTTACGCACAAACGCGCTATGTGTGCATATATGCTCAGTTTCAAAACTATTTGAACACTTCGTTTCTAATATAGTACAGAATGCAATAGTCGAACCAATGAGAATTTCTGAGAATTGATAAAAAATAAGTTTTCTCATTGGACAATTGGCTGCGTTACAAATTACATCGAAAAATAGTGTTCAAACCGTATTAAAACCAAGTGTATTGTAGAATTATGCAAGTATTTGTAACTTCTAATTGCTGCCGGTCTAATCTATCGGTGTTAAGGCTATAACCATCTTCGCGGACTGAATCGACTATTTATGACGTCTTCGGTATTGACATTTTTTTACGAGATTTTTCTCTTTTTATATACATACGTTTACACAGTAGGCAAGTGAACCATATATTTTACATTCCAGATATTTAAAGCATGCTGGGAAAATAAAGAATTAGTTGAATAATAATAAAGAAGACAATCATTTCTTAAGATATTCTAATCAAGAATTAACATTACAAGTATTGTGTGTCGCAATTGTGTTTTTGAATTTGATCATTAATTGAACTATTTTGTGAAGCATTTTCCCACCATGCTTTCTAAGATATATTTACGTCGTTTGTGCAATTAATAAGATAAAGCTCATTTTTTGCGGTTGGAAATTTGGCTATTTTCTCTGGGAGTTAAATGTTACAAAATAAGTGTTGTAATGTTGTGCATATGGAAGAATATCTATATTCGTAGATTCTCTATTCTCCAACATATATAATATCGACTTGTTGTGAACAGAGCAATATATATTTTTCCGAAATATAAAAAAGATTCTACTGTCGAATGCCAGAAAGAAAGATGAATTCTTCTATGCACGTTATTGTGCCAAACTAAAAAGAGAGAGCATAAGGGAAGAGTTAAAAGAATATAAAAAAAAATGTTTGGCTCTAAGCGAAAATCTATCACTTTTATCACATATACATTATAACACTGAAATATGATTGAAAATATCATTATATTCAATCATACGAATTTAATTCGTGACATATTATCACTTGCTCAAATCATTTGACAATGCATGTCGACCTACCTGAAATGTCGTAATTCTAATTTAAAACAAATCACAATTTCATCTATGATTATTCTATGATTTTATTGTACACACATACATACATTCGCATACACACCTGATGAGTACATATCAAATGACAAATTTAGTGATTTTGGACTCACTTGATATAGTAGTAACCATAAAAGATTATATATTCATAGAGGAGATTAAAAAACGGTACACACGCGACTCTTGCGAGAAAAAAAGAACCGATTTATTGTTATAGACAGGAAAGCTACGCGTCGCATTTTCATTTGGAAATATAACTACGATGTATATTCTATTAATTACGAATAAAAAAATATTTCCCGCTTAAGGTATGTTCTTGCACGTATTTCAAAAATCTCCGTAGCTTTCGTGTGGTTTTCACTGTGTGTAATATACATTATTTGTTGTAGTATTTATCGATAGACAAAGTATGTACAGAGTAATTGTTAATTACATATTTTGTACATGTTCGTGGACGTGTTCAGTCCTCGTCGAACTGGAGATCTAACTCCAAGTCGAGAGCACTGACTTCTTGGAGGGTGTTGATAAATGTGTATCGCGAAAAAATCATGTATAATCTCCGGAACCAGACATATTGAGACTTATGTGTACTCATAGCCTTCTGTAATGAAATAAGAACGTGTATAATTAGCGATTTTTCTTCAACAAAGTAGAACGCTATGGCTTACTTTGATTGTACGCCTTTGTTCGCGTGTCACCAGGTACCAGTATGGAGCTGAGAGTAAACTAATGGGCAAGTCCAGGAGTTGAATGTACTTTCTGATTATATTAACGGACTCTAACACATATAATTTACAATCTGAAACGTAATAACAATTTGTTAGATTAAGCAGATACATTTTGCATAATAATGTAATGATTTACTACTGACAAGGAGGTACTTTCTTCTCTATGCACAATGCAGCAATCGCAAAGTACAAGGAGATATGATTTTTATGTCGGCTCACTCCATACTTGTCGAATGTTACGACAGCATTGATCTTGTAAATCTCTATATATTGCAAAATACTCTCTGCTACCTCATCTGTTGGCCATTGTACTGCCTGGTCATCTGGTAACTCGCTACTCCTGTACATTTGTTCATTCAACTATGACTGAAGAGTTAGATACCGATATCTTATCATAGTTTTATTGCATATTTAATACCAAATATTGCCCAATCTCTGATTTTAATTAGTTTGCCATAAGAAGTATATTTAATACATATACAAGCTAAAATTAGGCAAATACATTTAGTGTTAAATATGCAATGAAAATACAACCCTATATCTTGTTGACACATGCAAATAATGCAAATGTGGATGCTTGCAAGTGATATTTTGTTGAACACACTCACATAATAATCGTTATATTAGCCTCTGGGATGCCTAAGACCTTTGCACAGGCCCACAGCTCATCTATCCTCCTTTTATCTCCACCTGCAAGCACACTGGTAAACATCAATAGACACAGCATTTGAGTGATATTTAATCTGTCAATATTCCTGTTAATATTCTGTATCTGACGTTTATGATTCTGGATACAAGTTTAGAATAGGTCATCGGTGATGTACCCATTGATAAACACAGCAGGTAGATCTCGGTGACCTTGGAGCGCGTTAGCCAGTAGACCAGAGGTCCGAAGAACATCACCTCGTCGTCAGGGTGTGCAGTGACCAGAAGGAGTTTGCCGGGTGGACCCGGTAGCTGCCAAGCGGCATGGCCTACCCTCTTGAGAAGAGCATAAAGGAAGATACAGACACAAAGGTACGCTAGCAGGGCGATCAGCAGCTGCCACGAGATTTCCCTGATGTAGTACCACCACCAGCAGACCACTTCGTTGATCTGCAGGCTCAGGTAGTGTCTCACGTAGTCTAGGTCGACAACCATCATCCTGAACAACGGCCACGTGCCCGACGACTACGTTGCTTATATCACTCACAACAAACGAAACTCTATCACGATCCTGCCATATCTGGTCGATCGCATCGCGAGTTTTTACCCGCGAGCGAGAACGCGCGTCCCAGCCATCGCGAAACGACCGACAGTGAGGTTATGTCACCTATCAAACGGATGATCAGAGCGGCCGCCATTCTAAACATTTTGAATAGTAATACGAAGAACGAAGAGGAACTAAGGCAGATTCTTGAAAAAAGAAAAAGAAATAATGGAAACAAGACGATCTAAAAGGTATATAATATGTAGAATTATAAGTGGCGGCTATACGAATTGACGTTTATTAATTTCCGCACGATAATTGTAGTTCGAGGCTACCAATTTGTGTTTTAATAGTGGTCTACGATTGATAGTACGAATTGTAGGTTATATATTATAGCTTAATATATTGTTGAATTGTATTTTGCAAGTTGTTTAAGGACTCTCGCATTTTTCATAAATTACTACAAGTGACTCTATAGATCATTATAATTTTATTATAATCTATATAAGTAATTTTACAACGTTGCAATGAGCGTAATATTGAGAGAAACAACTTGCATATAAGTTGATATAAAAATACAAAATATATTGTGAGGTTGATTGTAATATGTTTTATAACTGAAACATATCATTAAATAATCTCATTGCACTGCATAATATAATAAAATAATAATAAATATAATAAAATATTTTTGTAATTGTCTTGCTAATCTTAACGAACTATTCAAAGAATAGAACTATTCGAAAATCGACATATATATATATAGTTCGGTAGATATCGTATTGCGAATTTACCGCCTCACGAAATTCCCTAGACTCCGTTGGATCTATATTTTTACTTCATTTATTCTGCAAGACAATATTCAGTTTTTCAAAAGCGGTACGTAAATTGTTATTTTAAGAAATTTTTAAATATTTATAAGAAATAGAGAGAAGAAAGATATTTTTCGTAATTGAATATATCGCGGCTACGTCATTGTGTCAAAAATTGATTTGACATTGAGTGTTCTGAAGAGTCATTGCGGCAAATTACTGTAGGTTATGTCATCGTACGAAAGATAGTTGAAAAACTGAGAATTTTGTAATGAAGAATCAAGAAGAGGAAGTGGACCTATATCGGGACACATATGTCAGATATTTAGGTAACTATAAGTAATATATTGTGTGCTGTTATTGAAATTTTCTGTCATGTTTCTATCGTACATTTTTTAGTCGTATATGAGCGCGGAACACACATTAAAAATATATTTAATTTTTAAGATATTACATAACAATAATATCATATACTATATGGAAATTACATCATGTATCAATACTTAGTAATATTTTTTAAACTGACCAAGTACTTGTGTTTCTTTAGGTAATCAATATTTATGTATCATTATTTAGTAATATTTTTTAAACTGACCAAGTACTTTTGTGTTCCTTTAGGTTATGCAAATGAAGTTGGGGAAGCGTTTAGAAGCTTGGTACCAAAATCTGTTGTATGGTTCAGTTATGTAGTATCAAGTGGATATGTACTTGCAGATACTATTCACAAGGGTACAAATGTCTACAAGGTACGTCATAATTAAATTAATGGTAAATATTGAGACCATTGATAATTGTCTGTTACAGGTTGATACCAGTCCACAAAAGATTAAAAATGTTCTGTTGTCTACATCGGACACTTTGATATGGCAGGCTTTTGCATCAGTGATAGTGCCTGGTTTTACCATAAATCGAATTTGTGCAGCGGTTCAGTTTGCACAGAGAAGAAGTACAACTATGGTATTAAGGAAACCTTGGATCCCAACGATTGTTGGCTTGGTGTCCATACCTTTTATAATACATCCCATAGACCATGCTGTGGAAAGGACTATGGATGTTACATATAGAAAGTGTACAGGATACCATCCAAAAGCGCCACTGTGTGGAATAAAACACGAATAATGAAGCATAGTTCATTAGGATAGGATATATAGTGTGTCATTAACCTGAGAGAGGTCATATTCAAATCTAAGTAAAATATGTTCAGATACATGAAAGAATGTACCTCACCTTTGACATAAAATAATTGAAAGGCCTTATTATAATACACAATATATAATAATACAAAACAATATTATATTTTCTAATCGAATTCTATTTTATGGAAGGACAGATGAGAAATAATTACATTTGTCTGAAAGCCTTATCAAATCTGTCGATCTTTTTATACAACTCTGAATAATATAAAAAATACAAGATAACAGTATATAAAATAAACCGCCTATTTAAAGAAAAAGCTTTACCAATATTAAAATGCACCAATTAATAACATAAAGTTGGTCTGAACCTTTGTGACCTCTCCTGGTTTAGACACAGTAAAAAGTATTACTGCCTATATATTTTAAGATAGTATAATAGGCTACTGAATTAGAATACATTGTTAATTACAAAAATGTTAAATATTTTTGTTATAATGTACATTTTGTATGTACATTACAATTTTAAGCGCTGTCTCGAGCGTACTGGAGTTTGGTGCCACTATTGTTACACTTGTTGAATAAAATTATTGGTTTTACATTCCATATATGTCCTATTGTCGCCTGACTGTGTAATCATCTTCCAGTCGATGTGTTACATCACCATGACACATCGACTACTACATTTTACACTTGCACGATTTCTGTCATTCATTCAGTCTACTCAATTTAGTTGTTATATATATTTAAATTATTTCTCTTATTCTCTGACGCATTTGCGGTCAGATAGGAAACAATAGTTTATATCTCGCGATTTCTTTGACGAAATACACTAGTAAGAAGTAAATTAGTAAAATTAATTTATTCGTGATGTATGTTAGAGGAATTTAGACTGCTCCCGTGAAATAGAAATCGTTTCGCAAGTAGTCAGACGCGGCGAAAGGTTCTACGGCGGTGCTTGGCGGTTAATAATAACTGCGATGTGAGTAACATGCGTTTCATGAAAATGTATCGTGCAAAAAATGATATCACGTTGGCGGCGATATAATTATACGCAAGTAGCGCCGCGATTACGTGATATTATCTCTTTCTCTACCACAATTTCCCCTGCTATCGCGGCAACATCTAAAATCCGCGCTCGTGATAAATGCGATTATAATCGCTATACATTTTTAAGAACGTGCAGAGCAGGTTCCGCATTAAGACATCAATGAGACCGACTAGACGTTTCCTCACAGCGGAATTTTCTATCAAAGATAACGTCATGTATTTTCCGCAAAAATGAAGGATTAAACGCGGCTGATATGTAACGGTTTTGTAAGATTGAATTCTTGATTTCTGCGAGATCAGAGATTAATTTTAGAAGTTCCAAATTTTCTTTGTATTCTCTTGTATTCGTGATATCTTACAACAACGTTTCAAAGTCATTTTTAAGGTTCTCTCTCATATATAAGTATATAAATAATTTCTCATGAAGTATATAAATAATTTTGTAAAAATAAGATGACATTTGTTTTAACGTGTTTTAACACGGTCATTCTGCAATTCCAATTGCAAAATTAAATTTTATTTTTAATACTGCTTCTTTTTCAACGAGGATGAGTCGACGTTTCTTTCTCGTAAGAAGGAATAGGAGAGAATTAAAAAAAAAATCTCTGAATCAGTTTCCGATTTCGAAGATTGGAAATGTGCAAACCGCCAGTAAATCCTTCGTTATCCTTGTACAGTGCACCGACGACGCGTAATTCCTGAATCAGCCAGCGCATTTATCGTCCTTGCCGCGCCGGCCGCGGAACAAAGGAACGATATTGCGGAAGAACGAACAGCCTGTCATACTTGTGACATATTTTTTTTTCTTTTGGTTGCAGGTACGTACACAATCGCCACGTCAGTCAACGGGAAGAAAAAGTGATCGTATTTCTTCGTTCATGGAAACATCGCCATGGCCTCTCTTTTCTCCGACAAAATAACTCGTCGGAAGCTGCTGGAAGATTCTGCGCGCAATTTGTCGACGCGATGAGGAAGGACACCGGAGATTTCTTCTGCAAGGACGACGCTGCGCCTTTCCATAAATACACGTTTAGGATGACGTAAGTGCTACGCTTTCTTCACCTCCGTTGATCAAATGCGTCTTTGAAAATTCGGAACGAATAAACTTTTCTCGATATTTCTCGCTTGTAAAGCATATTTTTAAATCATTAGAAGCAAAGTGTAGGATAATAAATATTTCATAAATGTAAACTATCGCGAGAAATCGAACGTATGCATTTTTTAAATATTTAGTATTGAGACGTCGAAGCAATCATTTCTCGATTTTTGAATTTCGTCTCATGCGGCGTCTCATGTAACACGCATCAAAACGTTGTTTATTGTCATATTTTTATTGCATAATTACGCGATATACTTTTTATAAAACATGATATAGTGTCAATTTTATCATATACACGTGAACACTATTTTATTTATATTTTTAATTTCACAAAAATTAATTTTTCTCGTTTTTCCATTTTTCACTGTATTATTTTGATTCTGTATGCGAATGCGCTTTTCCGAATTTTCAGGCGCGCAGGCAGAGCATCTCCAGCGTAACGTTAACATTGCGATTCTTATCGCGTCGAGGTGTCAAACTTGGAGCGCACGTGCGGTCGAGTGCAACTCGCTCGCCTCTTAACGACACGTCGCGCGTTCGATAATTAATAATTAACCCTGCCTCCCTGCGCTCTCTGCGCAACCTCCTCCCCTGATGCTCGCGCGGAATTACACGGTGCGCGCGTAAAGAATTTCAATGGCTATCGGCGATAATATAGTGTACCGGCCGGCTCTCGTAATCGTATAATTCTAACTATGCGATTACGGAGCCGCTCGGCCGTAAATGAGGCAGCTCTAGCCGTAAAGTTTTAACCGCGCTAATAACAGCCCTTACTATAAATACCCGCGCGCGACTAACCATAATACCCCCGGGCGCGCAATTGCAATGAAGTCGTTCATTCGCCGTTCTCGCGGGCGCCGATACCGCTCTCGCGCGGCGGTCGGAGACCGTAAATATCGTCGAATAGACAGAAGCCCGTGATAATCCCCGCAATAAATAGTCAGTTATGGCCGCGTCTTAGAGACGGCCACCTTTCCGAGCGGTCGAAAACGCGCTCCCTGCTTCCGTCGTGCTCTCTTTCTCCTCTTCCCCTTTTCTCCGCCTTCCTCCCGATTACAACGATTGCTCGCCCGTTAGACGTTATTAATCCTCAACCCGTTCCGACGGCGTTCGCTTTTTGCCATAATAGACGAATTGCATTAGAATCGCCGCACCTTACGTACGTACGTACGGTAGTCGTATAAGGTATCGAGGTGAAAATAGGATCGGGTGGATGATTCGGATTCGTAACAAAAACAAGTCACGTCTTATTTCTCTTTGATACTGATTGTTCGTCCGGTAATTAAGGCTGATGCCGTTTATTGCCGGAATATTAGATAAATCAGTCGTATGGATGTTACGGCGCGATTATACGCTAATTGCATAGAAATGGCGAATGAATTGGGTCGGTTGATGATTTGGATTTTCAATTAAAGTCTTATTCCGACTGGCTCTCGTTCCACTTAGTTCAACTCGCTTCACTAAGTATCCCAAGATCCAGGAAGTAGTTACGTTACGTCCAATCAGTATACCTTCTTTGGGCGGTGAGTTTTTAATTATGACTCAATCTCTCCGAGTGCAACCACCCGCTGGTACTATAATCGTGGAATTCATTGACATTAAAAAAAAGCGGATATTAAGTTCTGAATTCTGCCCAGATTTCATACAGAGCGCGACACGCTCCACATTAAAGTGTGTATGTGTGGTGTGTGTGTGTGTGTGTGCGCGCGCGCGTTGCACGCGAAAGCTTTTCGATTAATATTAAATACCATTTGCCACGGAATTAAAAGCGATTCATGTAATATCAATTTATAGGGAAACTGTACAATGATAATAAATCATGTAATTGTGGAAAAATTTCGTTATCAGGACGAACTCGTTTTCGCCCTTGACCTACGACGCCGGCAGCTTCCGGCCGGCAAGAAACGAGGATGCGACAACCGGGTCGATGTTTGTCCCACCGTTACGAATTGGCACCTCCAAACGGCGGGCGATTTTTCACGGGAGCCCGTAATAATCTTGAATTAGCTTTTCGGTAGTCCATCGCCCTCGACCCTCGTAATAAGCTTAACCGAGCGCAACAATATAATTTATAGAAGCCACTTCTTTACGGCTAATTATGGCGAATTACGGTCGTACGAAAGAGAGAAAGAGAGAGAGAGGGAGAGAGAGGGGAGAGGGGGAGGGGAGAGAGAGAGAGAGAGAGAGAGAGAGAGAGAGAGAG